ATATTTATCCTGAGCAAATCAAAATTTTCTTTTTATAATGTTGAAGCTTTAACAAACCAAGCTCATAAATGTTTTTAATATTTTGCTTTTGTAAAACCTTTGACAACTCCACACCTATAGCTTAATACAAAAAAACTCCTAAGCACAAAATTATAGAAGCTTCTTTTAAATTCAATTTCAATATATTCAACTTTTGATATTGCCTGGCTTTTCAAAAAGTAATTCCTTATCTACATAGAAAAAAAACTGCAAATTGCTTTGTATGTTGTCCTGTTTTGGCTTTATAATGTGTGAAAAGATTTCTTTTTGGTTATGGTAATTGAACAGTCTTCATCCAAGATTTCACTACTGCTTTAGTAAAACATAAACATGATTGTTAAGTTTAACAAATAATTAATTAGATATGTATATATTAAGAAAATTATTAATAATTCTTCAAAAAACTAATGATTTAGTTGGCTTTATTTATTCATGATTAATTGCGCAAGATCTTTTCTATTTTCGGCAAGTTTATATTTAAGTTCATTCTTATAGTTAATCATAAGATCTAATATCTTTATAGGTTATTCAATATTTTACAATTATACATAACCCCTAAGTGATGATCCTTCTACTGAAATATTTGGCTGCTAGTCAATATAATAAGGAAACTAATCAAATCATCGCAAATTCTAGACATATAGAAAAAAACTCCACTTCTTGATACCAATAATGATTCATATCGAACATCCTAATCTACTATGATAAAAAAAACATTATGTTTTTATTGTTCCTCTATACTCTATATATATGTATTTTTTGTTATAAACTGTATTTTATCCCTACTAGATTATAATATCTATTAAATAATAATATACTTCTATATTCTAATATATTTTAATTAGACAAATGAATATTAAGTCATAAATATGAAATTATTTTTTGTAGTATAATAATTAAAATAACAAATCTGTAAAATACCTATTGTATGTGAAACTACTAAATATTCCTGCATGTTGTAATTGTAAATAGACTATAAAACTATCTGATGCATAAGCCAATATTCTTTTATTATGCTTAATAATCTATCTAAAATTAACTGTATTTGGGATCCTTTTTTTTTTAAATCAACTATCACAATTCCTTCTAGAATGAATATTTAATTCTGTAAAACTAAGATAAATATAATTCTATTTGTTAACCGTTTGATTGTCTATAAATATTTACTACCTCTCTACCCTGCTTTCTTTGATAAAAAAAAATGCTCCAAAAGCTTTATTTGGTGAATATTTCTTCCATTAAAAACAGCCCACTGAAACTATTTTAATTGCTTTGAATATTTCAATCACTTATTGTCGTTTTTCTTTATTTTTAAAATTCACGAAAAAAACAAATTAGCTTTTGATATTCTTATATATATTTTTGTTAAATGCTAAAAAAATCTAAATATTTTCATTGCACGACTGTATTAAAATTCATCCGCTGTTCGCTTTTTTTAATCCCTCCTAGACTACTGTCTGACATCAGCAAAAAAGGCATTTTATATTCACAAAAAAAAAATAATAAATGCTTGATGAATGATGACCTTATCTTATTCCAGTAGTCAAAGGAATTTAATCTGCGAACAGTAGGAATTTCTTTATATTTCACATACTTCGCTTTGCTAAAAATTAAACCCTTCAATTGTATTCTCTCCGTTTTTACTTGTCCCGAAAAAACAATTTTGTTGATTTTAGTGTTAAATTATTGCTTGACTAATAGTATGTATTTAATCGATCGAGTTGCTCTTTTTCTTTTATATTTAAACGTTGCAAATGTTTTTATTGCTTTTGTTATGTTAATTCTTGTGTATTTATTATGATAATAGAGTTTAGTTCAATATTTATATGTTGATTTAATTTATTATATGATGTTTTATGTGATGAATAAGTGTAAGAGTGAATACTAATGGTTTTTTTTGGTTAAGTTTGTTTTGTATTATAGGAAATGTAAGATATAGTATAAGATAAAATAAAGCTAAGATATTCGATAGGTTAAGGTTAAAATATGTAATTACATCCTTCTAGAAATAGAAGAAGACGTGTGTTTTATAGTTTTTTTGTAAGTTGTAAAATACATGATCAGAGTAAAGTTTATTTTAAATGTTTTATTTGTGTTACTCATCTATTGCGATGAGTTATTTTTGTAGTTAGGATTTTTAGTATTAGATTTATATGAATATATTCAACAATTAACAAATGGTATTTCAATCAACAGCATTAATTCAAATGGCAACAATGTAAATGAACATTTTTTCTTTTCATATATTTGTAACAATTTTTTTTTTTCATTTTTATAAAATAAAATTTATTTAAAAATGAAAATAATTTATTATTTCATTGAAATGACTAATATTGGCGAATATTTCATAATAATGAATGGTTTGTATTTATTTAGATGTAAATTTGAAATTAAATAATATCAAAAATCAAACTAGAGATCGACTTATTCATTAGGATACAATACGAAAATATCGTTGAATATTTGCATGGAAGAGTATTATCCCTTTCAAGACGGTGATACAACAAATGTGCCACGTACTTAGAGGGGGTCCAGGCTTTCTAAAAAAAAAAAATTTTTTCTGAGTCGCGGTAAAAAAAGGTAGTTTAAGAATAATACACTGATCGTGAAAAAGATAAAAGCAAAACTAGTCCTGAAAGGGTTATTTCGTGATTGTAGTTTGAAGTGATAAGATAAGCATTGTAAAGATATGCCAAGTGTGCAAGTTATGAAAACAAATTTTTTGTTTCAGAATTAAAAGATAGATTTATGGTGGCATCCATATTTTGTCAATAAAATTATTCGATATTATCATATAATATCTTCGTTCGAATATGATTTTATTATAATTCTTTAATAAAATATGCATATTTATATTTTTAAATATTAAGATTTGATGAAAAAGCTAAAACTAATCTTTCTTACGCAATCAGTTTTATATGTTGGGCTATAGAATATTCAAATGAGTTCGTTTATTTTTCTAAATGATCTTTCCATAAATATTGAATATCAATCAATTTTTTTAATATAACTCAACAAATATTGAAACCTACCTTATTTAATGAAAGCCATTATGAAACAAAGTTCAAGTGTCAATCTTATATATTGCACTTCAAAATATTCTTTCATTTTTTGATTAAACCTTGAACAAACCATTATGTAATATTCCTCGTTGAACTTCATAATAGTAGTCGTTACAATTGTTTGCCTCAATAGATACTTCATATTTTTCGTCCTACTTTTTCAGTAAAGAAAAATTTTCATTACTTGAAAACAAAACATTTAAGAAATCTTTATCTTGTCAATCATGAATAAACAAGAAATGATTTTGACATTCTCTTATAATTCTATATATAAATGTTTCAGTCAAAATCACTTTGAATTCGTATAATACACTATAAATATCAAAATATGCGTAAAGTAAACTGAAAATATATGTCATTTTCAGTTTTTTTCTCTCTCATAAAAGCATTATATCGTAATACATTGAAAAGAAATATACTCATCATCTGTTTTCTATCTTATGACTTTCTCTAGAGAGTTCATATAATAGAAAAGAAAGGATTTTTGCTATTTTTAGATAGATCTTCATATTGAAAAAAACTTCTCGGATCATTATCCCAATAGATTTTGTTTTTTTCTCAAAATAAAAAGATTTGGATTTTCTTCCAAAAAATCATAATTGTAAAAATATTTTATTATTGTCATTCAGGATCAGTAATTTATCTAAGTGCTCTTAAATAATGTATCGTTCTCTATTCATAGTAAGTAATCAAATCCCTATAGGCGTCAGACAATAATATAGATTGTATTTCATAGTTGAAAATGTAACATTCTTCATACAAAAAAGACTTGCAGAAAGAACAAATATTAGTATTTGATTGGTGCAACATCATCCAAGAGACTAACAAAGGTTGTAGAGAAACACTATCATTTTATGATATAATAAAAAAAAGACATTTAAGTACATGAATACGTTCTTTTATCTTTTACTGTTTTTCATTATATCTGTAAAAACTGATTTATATTAGTTCGGCTTTTATGCTATAAGGTATTTGAAATAGTTCTTTTTTTTTAATCCATTGTTTGTATGACAATTTATTTCCTGTGAGAAGTTAATTATTTTCTTTTGTTTGTGAATAATTGACATGAAAAAAAAATGTTCCTAGAAAATCAACAATTATTTATTTGCATAGATGTTTATGTGTATGAGCTCTCTATTCATTTTCTCTCTTTTTCTGTTATGTTAGAACTATTAGTAATAGTACAATCGTCGCTTTTTTTTTGTCGTCAATATATAACCGATGTTTCGCGTGTTGAACAATAAATTAAGTTTGTTCAAGTAACAAAATAACGACATCAGAGAATAGTCTCTAGTGACCTCGATAGAATGCGTAGTTATACACAAGCCGTATTCACATTGTATATGTTTACTTCCGTTGAGTCGTAACTTGAGTATGTGTGTGTGTATGTGTACTATGCATGATTAGGAAGAGCAACACAGCAGCGACAACGAATAATGAGTGAGGCCAGCCGTTAGTAACGTAACATGAGCAAACGAGAAGTAACGTAAATTGTTCTTTTACGCTCATATATTCGTTCTGTTCGTTTCTTGTGATGACAGTCGCCAGACGTCAATTATAAGCGTTACATGTAAGTACGAATAAGCAACGAAATATTCGATTAGTTTGCTTGTCCAAAGACAAAGTATACTACTTACGTATATATACATGAATAATTTTTTTTTGTCAAAAATTGATGCATATATATATAAATAAATACATGCATACAAATGTATGCTGACAATTAGTGCTATTGAAAGTTAAAGAAAAGGAAGCTGTGTAAATTTAGTATTTCTATTTGCTGCTTTTCAAACGATATTATACATTAAAAGGTACGTTTCTTTTGTTCACTTCTTTTTTGTATTTTAATCATATATTAAAATTACAGATCTTATTTTACTATAGATAAAAACTAAAACCATGTTATCAAAAAGATGTCAACGTCATCATTCATTTTTAAATCCATCAAAATTTACCGATCGATTAAAACCATCAAATTCAGGTACCTTATCATCGGATACCATAACAACAACATCAAGTGGATATTCCACAGGTGGTTCGACAGTATCAACAAATATTATTTCATCTTTAAAAAAACCTTCGTGTAATCAACATAAAAATAAATCAAATAGTAAGTAAACTATATAGAATAACTAATCTACTGTATAAAAAAAAAAGAGAAACTTAATTACGTCTTATCTGTTTTGATATACTTTCTCATACGACATTTCCTATTATTATCTTATACGTTATATCCCTAATGAAGAACTATATTTGTCCATTATTCCATTTACTGCCATGAAGAAAATAGATAAAAACATAACTAATGCATGCATTTATTTACCCCTTACCATCGAAAATATCTTCTACAGACTTATTACATATATATATACATATATTTTGTTTTTCTCTTAGGTTTTCATAATTTTATCAATAGAATAAAAACTTTCATAGTTTTACCTAAATCAAAACATATTAATTCGACAACATCAAATGATATATCATCAACTGATATGATTCTTCAATGTTCAAAATCCTGTAATCTTTCATCCGACAATGCAATTACACTTCCATTTATATATTATAATAAATTATCTAAACAATCAGAATATAATAATAAAGAAAATCATGAATCTTATTTGAATGGAACAACTAATTTTGAAAAAATTTCTGCATGGCTTGATCATACGGAAATTATTACACAAGATCATAGTGATTTATTATTTATTGACGATATTTTACAAGAGTCAATACCATCATCTCCTGCTGAAATCGATCGTAAAAGTAAGATGATCTTGTATTTTATGTTTGTCAAAACTAGACTTGAAGTATAAAGAAAAACACTTCAATATGATATATTCTTTTCATTTTGCCATTTAAATAATATCGTATATCATGCTTTTGCTTTCGACCCCAATCTTTTTTTCTCTTCTTCTCCTTTTATCATTTGAATATTTGCGACCCCATTTTAACACCGAAAATTGACTTGTATCTATGCATGTTGATGATACGATACAAAAAAGACACAAATGCTTGTTGCTTGACTGCCGTATGAGTGTATGTGTTAGGACAGAAAGGAAAAGAGAGAAATGAGACGAATAAAAAGAGAGTATGTAAAAATGAAGATGGATAAAGAATGCGAGACAGAAGAGAATAAGAAACAAGGTAAAAACGAAAAGTACAATTCACTTGCAAAATTGAAGTTGTATTGGAGGTCGCGGTGCTTGTTGAAAACGTCAATCAAGACAAGACAATTACCTCAACAAACGTAAGTTCTAGTACCTAATTCTTTTCATAGAATGAGAAAAAAAAAGAAAATTTCTATTAATAGAAATATTTCTTTAAATTTATCAATTCAACTGATTATTCATTTTCATTCATATTATATTTCACTAGTATTTTAGAAAATTTCAGTTATTTTATTGAGGGCATATATATATATAATTAAATTTTCTTTTATTTCATCGTTTACTTCTTGTCATAGCAACCAATAAAAATGTTTGCTTTGACACAGTAGAATAATTTAGTTACTACTTATGAATCATATCATGTCTCAAAATTTACTCTCCTCCTCTCTTATTCATTCTCTTGCGTTGTCATTCAATATTACGTATATATAAAAGATTTGTATACGAAATTCAGTTGTGTGTGTGTGTGTGTGCTCTTTTACTTAACTATTAGGCTACCTTGCCTACCTTATCAATTCTTTTTTTCTTGTTTTTTTTCAATATTACAAACATCAACAACTTGTAAGTATAAAAAAGAAAAAGAAAGACGTAGGTTGTAATAGAATTACTTATTGCAAAGTAAATATTCATACATACAAGAACGTATTTTGTATTTTTTAGTAATCATGAAGAAAACTTCATCGACTAATAAAACACCTAAACGAAGTTCATCAATGGTTGCAACAATGACTCGACCAATAATTGAACGAAAACAATATGAAAAATCTATATCACCGACATTTTCATTTTCATCATCAATTCTTGCAAGAGGAATGACAGAAAGTCTAACACCACAAACAAGTTATCATCAATCTCGTACTAATCTAACAGATGAACAAACAAATAAAATCTTACCAAAATCAAATCGTCGTCGTACAATTGATTTTTCTCGACGACGTACAGTTGATAGTCAAATTGATCAAATGAATAATAATAAAGAAAATCTTCCAAACTCTTATAATCAACAAATCTATCAATTTTCTCCTCCAACATCTAATAATCTAGTAACAAAAAAATATTATTTTCATTCAAATCCTCCTCCTGTAAAAAATGAAGATATTTTAATGAATTCATATGGATTAACCATTCTTCAACAACAACGACAACAACCGATTACTACTAATGTGAAAAATCCTCCACAAATTTCTCGCAATTCATCATTACATAAACCACAAAAACAATTAAGTCGTCAACCTTCTATAATTCAACAAAAATATATATCCGAATCACTAGATGATATTCTATGTGATCGAGAAGTTGAAAGTTATTTTTATCCTAAACAACAACATCAATCACCTATTTCAATTCCTCAACATGTCTATATGAATTTAGGAACTTCATCATCCCATTATTATCAACCTCCATCATATATACATAGTACTTTATGTTGAATCTACTTTTCATATGTATTTGTTTTTTATTTGTCATTTGTATTATATAGACAAAAAGAATTTTAGTCATATTGAACATTTTAATTACAATACTAAAAAAAGATATGATGAACATCACTACACAAAAATAATTAGTTATGATAATGAGAAATATTTTGTCGATAAAATCTATATTTAATATAGAATGAGTAAATAATAGATTTCATTTTGGTCAAGGTCTATTATCGAATTGTTGATTTATTAAAAGATGACAAATAAATAGTTTTGAAATCAATAAATTTGAAAACGAAAATTTGCATTCTATTTCAATGACGAATTACAAAAAAAATATGTCATGTCTATAGTCGAACAAATTTATCATGGTCAATTACTTGAATTCAAATAAATCAATACTGTAACTAAATTGAATTAATCGCTTAGTGGACCGAATAAATTTACTAAAAATAACTAAATGAATCAAATATCATGGTGAAATTTGATCAATAAGAATTAGATAATTGACATTGAGATCATGAAAACTTATGCAAAAAAAGTATTCGTTCAAGGACATCAAACTATGAATATATATTATTATCCTAGTTTTCTAAGAATTAATCAGATAATGTTAGAGAAATATTCATGTATAGTGTCTAGCCAATTTTTCTGATAAATCGATTGATTTATCAGTCTATAACAGACATTATTTCATAGCTGGTTATCAATGAATATCAATTTAGTATTAATGATTAATAAAAGAATTCTATTTACGCTGCCAATAATAGATTCGATTCATTATGTCTCAGCCTTTTAAATAATGTAGACAATACAATAGTCCGACATTGAAATATACCAAAAAGACTGATGAAGTGGAAAATCATCGAAACGCCCTTTAATAAATTCTGACTAATAAGACGTATATTTGATTTAATAATATTGACAGGAAAATTGCGCAAAGGTCAAATGATAAATAGAAAAAGAAGTTTATTCAAAGACATGCACTTCACTCATTCGTTTCTAATTACAAAGAAATTCAATTATAATATATTAGACTTTTTCTATTTGTATTAAGAGATTTTAAAAAAACGTCCTAAGATCATAATTGTTATCAAAAATAGACATTCTTTTATATTTTTAGCACAGAAATCTACTGGCATAAATTATCAGTTATAAGATAAGTATAAAATATTCCAAGGCTATTATTAACTCAAATATACATATCTATTTATAACTATGATTGTCGTCGTTTACAAATCAAATATGGAGATATTTTATTGGATTTATAAAAGCAGACAATATCGAAATGGGATTACATAAGTTGACTTTAAACTGAATACACATACAATGACTTTTGCATTCAAAATAGCTTCTTAATAATTAGGTCGACGCACTGAAAATCAAGATTTCTTATACTAGAGAGAGATTTCTTCTTTCTATACCTCGGACGTCTTTCATCAACAAATTCAAGTCTAATCATTCTCCTATCGTAGACGAATTGAATTGATAGAAATCTTTTGAATTAGTCTTTTTATTCAAAACACATTGTAAAAATTCAAATTACAATTTAAAACAAAGAAGAGAAATTGAATACTGTATATACTTCTGTTAGTAAATAGAACATACAAAACACACAGACACACATAAATAAATACTGCATATCCTGAGTTAAAAAAAAGGTAAGTTAATTGTTAATAATATGAAATTATTTTCCCGGTGTAAAAATATGTAATTTTTGTATCTGACTTTCTAATTGTTTACGTGCTCGTTTTTCTTCTTCTAATTCTTGTTGAAGTGATTTATACGCTAAACGAAGTTCATTAACCATATCATACATTGCTCGACGTTCACTATAATTAAAAAAATTAATTTAAAAAAAAATCATGAAAATTAATAATAAATTCTAATTACATATCACTATTTTTCGTTGATGAATTAGGAATATTTGAATAATCAACAATTCCTTGAATTGAATGTCTTGTTTTAGGTAGAAGTACATTTAAATTAGTAACTGGTGTTTTACTATTACTAGTCGTTATACAATAAGCTTCAATAACAGAGAGTAATAGTGCATCATCGCCACTTGTTTCCACTACAAAAATTAAAGATTGATTATTTTATGGAAATATATTTCGATTAACCTCGTTTAAGAAATTCATTTGCTTTGGATTTTTTCATTGTCATAAAACGTTTCAGTGTACGGTTTGATCCGCCTTCAGTTGGATTTACGGATGTATTATCTCCAGTATTATTATTAGCTGAGAGATTTGGTGAATTTGTTCCGAGTATTGTCGTAGGATTAGGTCGTAATGGTGAATGTGGACGAAGACAACCTTTAGACCAAGTAGGCATTCTTGATGGAAATTTTGAAGAAGAATTTTCGTTATTCGTCGGAGCTGATTTTGTTCCAGTTAATGGTGAAGGTGACTGAAGAAAATATATAATTTATACAAATAACGCTCGTCCGAGGACTCGCTTAGCTCTTTCTCGTAGAAATGCATCTTCTTCACATTTACTGAGAAAACAATTGAAAACCGTGAAAAATAAGTTTTCAATGTTTTGTGACCCCTCACCCACTTTCCTAACTATAGTCACCCAACACACCTCAAATTCGAACTCCCCGCATCGAAAAATCTCTAGAAATGTGTTTTTCGACAAAACGATTTTCAATGTTTTTTTGACCCTGCGGACACACAACCAAACAATTTATGTTTGCAAGACTCTTCTCTACGAGAAAGAGAATAAAATGAAATAAATAATTCATTACTTTTGACATATGTTGAGAAGTATGAGATTTTAATGTTAATAATGAACAGAATTTTTCACACCAATCTTGATATTCAACATTACTTGGAAACGAAAGTATTAATGATTGATTTGATGGAACTAAAATGAGTATTTTTTTTCTTTATTCATTTATTATTACCTATAGATTTCTTACGATTAATTTTTAAAGCACGTTTACTTATATCAATAATTTTACTGATAGTTATTTGATTTACTGCATAACGATTCTAAAGAAATACTTTATTTTTCTATGAAATATTTATTTTTTATTTACTTACTTCTATTTGATATTCTTGTTGATTAGGTAAAGTTGAAAGAAGAAATAATGTTGATGGATATAATATAGCTATACGTTCTAATGGCATTTGATGAACATTATTGTCTAGAATAACGCTAACAGGACTAAGACATAATGCATCACCCAACGATGCTAAACTCTAATGAAAAAAAAAGACAAGTTGCGATTTTTTATTAACATAATATATAGGTATTACTTCAGAACCAAGACCATGAATAGTACTATGTATAATATCAAGTTCCCATTCTTTACGTTTTCTCCATTCAGCACCCAATGACTAAAATATAATAGTTAATAATAGAAATTTAATTTCTACAAATTCTTACAGCTAATTCAGCATAATATTCAGCAGCTCTTTGTGCATCACCACGATCGATATGAAATTCCTTAGATAAGATAAAGATTTATACTTAAAAAAACGAAAACAAGATATTTTACTGCGAGATTATATAAATATTCCTTCAATAAACTAGCGTATTTTTCTAACCGATTGACCGGTAATGATAAATATTTAATAATTTGTGTATAACTATCATTATTATTATTATTATCATTGAATGATTCAATTTTCGATAGAGCATTCATTATTTGACCTCTATTTTAAATTAAAATTATGAAAAATGAAGAGATATTTTTTTCTATACTTATTATGATTGAATATAAAAAGTATTTTAGCATGTTGATAACAATAACCTTCGAAAATAGGTTTTAAAGTTAGAGCTAATTGTAGAAATATACCACCAATACGATGTTGAGTTCTAGGGCAAAACAATCGATTTAGAGAAAATAAATTTTATTATTTACTTGATCGAATCCCGTAAAATATGAGCAAGATGATGATGAAATTTTAATAATTCATCAAGATAATGAATATTCAAATGAAGAGGAGATTGATTTGATCTATGATTATGAAGTAAATTATACGAAAAGTTTGATTTGTGTTTGGCTTACGTTGAAAGAATATGAATCAATGGTTGCATTGTTTTCGAAAGAAAATTTTCTAATTCAAATACATAATGTTGTTCGCTTTCGAGTAATGTTTCCAAAATCTATTGAAATAATTTTATTCATTAAAAATACTAAAAACATTGATCAATGATTTAGTTCTAAGGACTCTCGAATTTCACCAGTGTGATTATACAGGTGTAAAAGAAGCTTCTAATAACTATATTGAGGAGTTTTGACTAGAGATGTGCACTGGACCAACAAACGTTTTCTAGTCCCGGTCAAAGATTTGCTTGCTATTTCATCAACTTTATTGTTAAATTATTGTTCAACTACGCATTTTGTAGAGAAATGTTTGCTCTTGCTGCCTGTATGTTTTAAAATATTCTACAGACCGTCGTTATCAAATAATTGAGGAAATATAATGACCGGGACCAGTTTGGTGCCGGTCCCGGTCGATCTTGACACCATTTTCTCCGTCTATGATAATCACTCAGTGTTCGCGATAGTCTTATTTCGTAGAGAAAACATTTTTCGACAAAACGTAGTATTTTAAGCTTTATTACGCTTCTAGACAACAGAGATATGTCTAATTCTATTACCGGCACTATAATTGACTGTGCTCATGTCTAGTTTAGACCATGATATGCTTATTCTAATAATATTATGTTGATTTTTCACGTGTATCTTATGCTATGACAGTTGGCGAGAATCCACTTTTATTTCGCTAATGTCCTGTTGACGAAGAGATAGTAATCCGTATTCTGTATGCATTAATTATATTATTAAAAAAGTCTTGGCGATCTCGGAGTCGAAAAATTCAATTGTATAAGTCTCTGTTTCTCTGTAGTACGTAAAGAATCTTTTAGGCTTAAAATTCGATTTTAATCATCTTTCGTTTATGATTCATATATTATAGTTAACTAACTGTTTCTCTGTATTGTTGCATTTCGACACATTGTTGTGAAGATACACTTTGAGTCGAGGGTGTTGAATCTAAATAAACATATTTTATAATAAAAAAAATCCTACAAATAAATATTCGTTCTATCATAAAAATTTATTTTCGAAAAAAATATTAAATTCCTAGATAGATAAAACACTACATACATGTTTTACACGTAAACAATCCGCATGATATACAATCCGACGATCTCATTATATTTACGATGATAAATATAACATTATGTTCTCTGAAGAATGATAATGAGATGTAGACTTCTGTTAAATGCATCGAAGAAAACAAAACTTGTTCTGTGTCTTAATGTTTTACTCGTCTTCTGTCAGCTTGATGACAGATATCAACAATTTTAGTAATGTTTATTTAGAATATCCGCAAAATCAATTATACATATATATATTCGAAAACGACATCTGTCAACGAAAAGATTATATATATATGTTATTACCTGTTTTTTTCACAGTTTGTTGTTCGACATAATTGGATGGAAACCATCCAGTTTTACCATCTAATGTGCCTTCCCACCAACCACCATCTTGTAGAGCTTGTGTCAAAATAATAATATCATTTTTAGCAAAGGATAACTAAATATAATAATTTCTTTTATATACGTTCCATTTTAAACATAGAACAACTTACTTCATCTGTATTTTGTGCTTTAAATGGAAATAAAGCAATTACAGAAGTTTTATTATTACTCTGTTGTTCCATATAATCTAGAATAAAATTCTATATAAATTTTTGTTTTGTTTGATTAGTAGTTTTTGAAAATATTTATTAATATTATTATTATTATTGAGAGAAAAATAATTTACAATGAACATGCATTTAAAGTTAGTTATATTTAAAGACAACAAGATTAAAGAAAAAGTTTTGCATTAAAGACGATAACAACAATTAAAAATAAATAATGATGAAATATATTGACTTATTAGTTATGAAAAGAAAAAACAATAGTGTCATGTTAGAGTTCACTTTTGATTTATAAGACAGATGATATATCCCATATCTAAAACAAGAAATTTTTTTATTAATAGATCAATCTATAAATGTCAACGTCAAAACTACTCATCGAAAGTATCTTGCTTTGAGTAATACACTGAAAAGGACTTGCAAGCGTTTATTTCTTAATTATAAACAGCCGTTTTCTATTTTTATTCTTATTGAGAGATCTTTCGAAACTATCTTCAATAGACGTTTAATATAATTTTTCATAAATGACAATATGAAGTATTCCGTTTCCTTTCTGTTCAATGACAGACAGAAAAAATATACAGCGATATTGCATATTCTTCGAAGGTCAATATAACTGAATAGGAATGGTTCTATAACGATACTTGTTTTTTTTGAAATACAATTTGTAGAATATAAAAATGGTATAAATCACATCCGATGTATTTCTCATGAGAATATTACTTGCATACAAGTAATATTAATCAACTCGATATGTTACACAAACAAGTCGCTATAGAAAGGAAAGTTCTTTATTATCAATGAATCAATATTTCTGCTTGAATGCTCACGTTCATAATGTCATATTCTAATAGATTATGAATAACTTTTATAATTGATTACTTTTGTCATGCAAAAATAGATTATATTTAACTTTATCTACTCACTTATATTGAATTGTATTCTGTATGACTTACAATGACCTTTCTGTATTAGTCTATTATTAAGATCTGATAATTTTCCTAACAGTCTATCTTATTTATCTTATGATTGTTATTATAATAATCTTACTTAGATAAATAAATACATTATAATGAAGTATCTAATATCATCAGAAGAAACATTAAATATCTTATGATAGACTTATATTGATACTGAAATCGATTTCTAGAATCTACTATTGACAAGCGACCAATTATGTAGTACTCGTAACATAACTAAGCTGTAATTCAATCTTAGGTTTTTTTTTCAACTTTTTACAGACATATAACATACAGACAACGCTACATCTAATAACTATTTCGATTTTAAAACGATCAATAAACTTCCGGCATAAGATATCGAATATAACCTTTCGATGATATTAGATACTTCATTATAAGCTATTTACTTATCTCAACTAAGAATATTATTCAATTGAAATACGATACATTGATATAAAAATTCATAAATCATAGATGAATTCATTTTCAATACTAAGCTATCACTCTACGTAATTCCGGTAAATGAATATATCTAATATACGTACTTTGATTGTTCGATCAGTTGCAACTGTCATCATAATCTTTTTCGTTTGATTAAAAACCGTTTTAATTGTTCCATTTCGTATATCATAAAAAGAAGCAAGTGAGGTCGTTCTATTTAAAATACATAACCTATTATTTAAAAAAAAATAATAGGATATATAATTACTAACTCGTTATTCTTCAATGTTTTCACACAATCATTGCAAACACGTTGAGCAATTTCATAACCTATTAATGGAAGTGCTTGACGTGTTGGTGAACAACTATCACAAACAGCTCGACCACATTTACGGCAATGATGCTACAAAAACAAAAAATTTATATATATATATATATCGAAGAAATTTTTTAATATCGAACTTGTCTTAAACCAAGTTTTTTTTGTGACCATATTGCGCGTATATTCCAAAAGAATGGCAAATGACATATCTGACAATTATCACTTTCTAACCATTTAGGTGTTTCATTACGTTTCACATTCATCGGCCATACACCAATATGACCATCAGTTGAACATGTTATTAAAATTTTACGTGCTTTATCAAATGATATTCCAACAAGACGATCCGTATGACCATTTAATTCCAGCGCAACACCTTGATTTGCTCCAATATCCCAAACAACAACAGATGTATCGAAACTACCTGAAAATAACCATTCCGTTTCTGGATCCCATAAAAGTGTTTGAACACTTCCTAAAAACAAAAATCGATTGATTTATAATGAATATTTTTTATCTACCTGTATGACCAGATAATGTTGTAATTAATTGGCATTTATTATCAGCATTTATTTTAAGAAATTGTATATTTCCACTAACATCACCAACAAAACATTGTTGAGATAATTCATCAAGTGCAATTGATACACCCCATGATGATAATGAATAATTTCCACGTGGATGTTGATGATTTTCATTATTAGGATTAGTTGAATACCAATTAAATTTTTTCTCTCGACAAACACTTAATAAAAGTTCTTTTTGTAATGAAAAACATAATGCATGAATACGACTTTGATGGCCTAGATAAGTACATTGAAGTGTTATTTTATTTAAATCTTCCGAAACAAGAAATTCCTTTAAAAAATAAAAAAAATAAAAATTTATATAAAATAATATTTTCGTATTTTTACATGAAGAAGGCCTGTATCACAACCACAAAAAAGGCGATGAGATAATTCATGATAAAAAAGTGCTGTTGGTGCACCTGTAATAAAAACAAATATTATGTAATCGATAGGATCAATTCTTTTTTTTCTTCTTCTTCTGTATAATTACTTTCTAATGTATAACAAACCGACGGCCAGTATTTACCAGTCTGTCTTCGTATCCATATACGTAATGTTCTAAATATTTATTATATATATTTTATAGAAAAAAATACATACATTCTATATACCTATCATCGAGTGCAGTTATGAGACCATCTTCTGTTGCAAGTAAAATAGCATCATTTATATTAACTTCAATATCGATTTTATTCAGAAGTTCAGGACGACGAGCATTATTAACATTTTCGGATATTGTCGTGGCCATAGATTTTTTTGCATAAAATTCAATACCTATTGATCACGATCGATTATTAGTTAGTTCGTGTTCGTATGTTTACGAGTAGATACGATTGGTTCGATTGCGAAATCAATCGGAATGGAATAGAAAGATTTTATAGATGTCTACACCTGTTTGACTCAATCAATAACCTATTAAAAATATTTTTTGTGGTTACACATATAGAGATGTGTGTCTTAAAAATATTTCTCAATCCAGAAAATATATGGAAGTTTAAACTGTGAAATTCTCTAGAGGTTTTTGGCTTGCCCACGTAATGCAATACTTCGTTAATCAAGTTTTGAGAATTTTTTTTTTAGAATGTAATAGGCTTAAACGAGTTACTAAACGCAATTTTTAACGCTGATTACGAATCTGATGCTTAGTCTGTAAAAAAAAAACAGATGTTTTCATCGAAAACTGAATTTTAAACTTTTCAAAAATCGTATTCCGAGTAAAGTTTTTCAAAAAAATACCGAGAGATATATCACTCAACGCAGAATTTCATTCTCTACAAAACGACTTATGTAGTTTTGGCTTTGATAGCTAGGAACAACTTTTAGTCTCTTATACAGTTTCCAACTTACTGTTCAGTCTTTCACTTTTCATATCGATCGCAGAACGCTTATTTATACAATAAATAGAGTTCAACAAACTGCGTCGAATGACGTTTGAACAACTTCCTAGCTATTGAAATTTTCGAGATAATCGAAGAAGAGTGTAACAAAAACGTAACAGCGTTACGTTTGAACAAGCCGTTTTACGATATGGTGATTAACTACACATGTTCACACTTATCAACTAAACAAAAAAGTTATATATTAATTTGTCTGGACAATTTCTTTGTATGATATAAATTTTTCTTATGTATTATTTTATTGCATAAAAAAATAAAATACGAAAATTGAATTTATCTACGAGAATCTATTTGTTGTTGAACTATTTTCCATAAAGTTCGTATATTTCCAGCTCCAAAACCAATAGCACCACGTCGTTCGATAAGTTCCAAAAAGAATGTATCATTATTAAATATTGATTTGGTAAAAATTTGTAGAAGTACTCTATTATTAAGAAAATAAATTTTTTTGTTTCTTCTACGTTCATTTTTAATATATTTACTTTTTATTTGATTTCAATTCTTGTTGATTATCACTTTCATCATCCAATAAAATACCTAACTCAGCGAGTTCACTAACATTTTCACCGGTTGCTTCAATTATATAACCATTATTCTCCTAGAAAACACGAACAAAAATCATTTGATTCAATTCATGATTTTATACATACTTTCAAATAATAATCTTGACACGGAAGTAAATATTGAGCACCATTTGTTTTTGTTATACGTACAGCATTTTTTATATTATCCATACAATATAGTGCAAGATGTTGAATTCCAGGTTGATTCTTATGGTTAGCAATAAACTTTGTTATTTGATCAGTTGAATCTTAAGATTAAAAAATTTTATTTTTGACAAATTAATTTTTACAAATTACTTGAATTGCTATCAATTAATGATTCAGCAAAAACAAATTTTAAATTTGATTGCTTATCATTCATACAAGCTGTTTCAGCACATTTCCAGTATTCACTAGCAAATAAACGCATACCCATAGTGCCAACATGTACAGAAAATCCTTGAAATGGATCATCTTGTCTAAAATAAACGTTATATAGTTTTATAGACTTTGTGTGGAACAAATTTTTACTGATTAACTTTGAATCGTTTCATTCCGAGTACTTTTTCATACCAAATAACAGCTGATAAGGCTGAATTTTTCGGTATAGCAAATGCAATATGATCAATACTATCTATCAACGATTCATTTGATTCTTGCTTTTCCGAATTTGATATCGATACAAAGCCTGGTAAACAAGATCCTGAATATTCAGATGTATTGATTAATGTATGTACTACATTTCCAATACATGATTTGATACAAGCATATTCTATTGTTCCATACTCATCAACAGCTTGTCGACGTGATACAAGTACCTAAACAAATAATTAAAAGACAGCTATGGATTTAGAGATTGACTCATTCTGACGGCTACTACTAGTCAAAGCTGATTAGTTTCATCTTTATCTAAGTAACAGGATGTATGTTATGAAAAAAGTTTTCTTACTTGTACGTCGGGATTCTTATCAAAAATTGTTTGCACAGATTTTACATGAAGAGCTACATTAAATGTTGTATCACGATCGATAATGAAATCACGTGTATTTTCATTATTAAGTATTGTTGTTAAAATATCATAATGATCATTATTAGGTTTGTTTTCATTATGTAGATCGATATTTAGCACTGATGAGATTAATAATTGACATTGAGATGATTTAAGAAACCATTGAGAATAATTGAATGTGTTACGTTTAGCAATTAATTGAAAACCATAGATTCGTATAAATAAATCAAGAATATAATCAGGATGGATTGTATGTAGTTCTATATGATGAAATCCATTGGTTTCGTTCTCCATATTTGTTCTGCGTACTTTTTACTTGCTAATTGTTTATATACTAAGTTCTTATCAGTATCAGTGTAGAAGAGCAATGTCCTACTCGTGCACGCTTATGAATAATACATGAGTTACCAATAATTTTTTTTGTTATCTTGTTTACCTATATAACGTAATGACGATATGATCAGAGTGACCTTGTATATATCTTCAGGACATTTACTTAATCTATGTTAATAATTATAATTATTTTTATTCGTATTACATATTTAAAAACTACTTGTTAAAATAAATGATTGTTATACTTTTATATATTAATTAATATAATTTATTAAACGCCATCTATATTCTTGAAACGTACTCGAAGGACATGAGCTATAATACGTTTGAGGTTACTGTTTATCAAGGCTCAAGGCATATTTTTTTGTTTTATAAAACCTTTAAACCACATCATTATGATGTGGAATATTATCACGCGAAAATGCATTATCAGTAACAAAAGAAAGATAAAAAATGTGAATATTAATGATAATATATATCAGTAGGTTTAGAATACAAATAAAAAGTTAAAGAAAAGACTGTCATGTGCTCTGTAAATGATACATTCTTTTCTCTCTGATGTTGGCTTGTTTCTATTTTACACTCCTCTCACTTGTCTTTTTGCTCCTCATCCATTTTTGTTGCTCTGAGTCAGAGAGGATGTGTTGGAATGCATGTACTCATGAGTGAAGGCGTTGATAGCGGTAGATATATGTTGTTCTGTTTGGTATGCGTGTGATGTGTCATCATTCATTTTATATGGATTAGTGTTCGATTATGGAATAACTGACTAACATCTTACAAAGACAAATTTTATTGTATTCTTCCCGAATGATACCGAGATTTTATATTAATTGAGTTTTTGATATGTAGTACGACGATTGACGGTCATAAAAATATCATTTTTTTGCCAGGAAGAGTATAGAGTTTAACACAGGAATATTTACAAGAAGTTCAAAAATCAACAGACGATTACAAATTTAGAACTTTCAGCATCTTGTAGTAAATTTTGATGCTTTACTTGTTTCGTACAAAACAACTGATTTGCAACTTTTCAAAGTATAAACAAATTTCAGTGACTTAAGATAGCTTACATTTTTAATGTGGAAACTACATTCCCATAAATCATATCGTTTTTGGATCGAATATATGATCGAAAGATATACCTCAATGAGCTATTAAACATTTCCTAAGTCAAGATAGATATTTACTACTGTTAACAATAAAATGTATATATTTCGACTGAGAAAGTGTGGAAAAGTAAACTATTATAGGCTGTTTAATAACTCATTGAAGCCTATATTTTTAGCATATGATTGTTCCAAAAGCGATTTAACATCTGGGATATTCTCTCATAAGCTACAATATGGAGTGCTGTTATATACAAACGAAGAATTTTTCTACATGTTTTATAAAGATTGACATCATCGCTTCCATATATCACTCATCCTTCAGCACTATTGATAACAAGCGAAAAATAGAGTGTTGTTGTTTAGAGTGATATCAGTAATCAATATGGTAGGTTAACCGATGAAACCAACTGGTAGACTTTTTTTATCTATCACAGGTACGACAAAATATCGTAAAAATAATGACTCTCGGACAGAAACTTCAATTATAGTAACTTAAAATATTTTTAATTATCGTTAAATAATTTGAACAAATATTATATTGAAAAAAAAAGTTATATAAATATTGAAAAAGTGTAATATATCTGTTTATTTGGTTCTTTGTATAGGAAAAAATAAATAGATACATTTCATTAAAAGGAAAAAGGATTTTTCTTTCACATAAGTTGTAGAGTGTAAGCACTTCAATCGTTAAGAATGAATAATCTTTTTAAGAAGCTTTTTGTATTCTTAAATAGATAAAAGATAAATTTTATACTGAATGATCAGCATACTTCATGTTTTGGATTACTATGAATTCATGATTTTTATTCGATTTTTAAGATTAGAAGATGCTTTAGTCCATTCTACTAAAATTATGACCTACAGTTGTCGATCAATCACGTTGAATTGCACATCTTTTTTGTTTTTTAGATCAGGATATCTCGTAAGTTTAAATATTGAAAACCATATTAATATATGCATTGATTGTTATTATCTTCATCGGTTATTTCTTAATTTTCTTTTATGGGTGGATGTGAGGTATAACTAGAGACTAAATTTATATCTGTTGATCATATAAAAAAGAAAACTTTATCTCGTATATTTTAATATTTTTCTTGTTCAATAGAATAGAAAGGATATTACGAGACGCGAGAACACTTATTTCGAGAACTTCTAATATAAAATCCGGCGGATTATTATATACAATGAACGTTACATGTTGTTTTCAAAAACATGTTAATCTTCAAACAAAGAAATTTTTTTTATCTTCAAAAAAATAAAGCACAATGTTCATTTTTATTATTACTATTCCAAATGACTGATAATATTACGAAGTATTTTAAGCCAGCAAACAATTGGAATTTTCGTTTTTCTATTCCGTATGGTTTACTTATGTGATTGATTATTACAGATTTAATCAAGATAATGAGTAACTTATCGATTTTATATGATAACATAATGCGTTTTTTTATTACATTTATTTGTACTTATGTGATTGTATTTGTCATTGTTTCATAATGTTAATTATATTATATGTGTGGAAAGCTTTTAACTCAATGAACAATCACTTTTCATTAGAGACATAGTGCATAAAACCTATTTCTATGGATACCAAAGACGAAACATAAAAAAAAAAGAATATGAAAAATTTATATAATAGTCCAAATACACATTGATAAAAGACAAGGGTATTCGGATATATGCTGAAATCGATATTATTTGATGATTTATCAAATGATGATATTTTTTGTGCTCTGCAACTAATCCTGTTAGCTATATGTATTAATATTTAATCATACATAAATCAATAATAAACGTTACAGGTAATGATTTTCGTTTTCTTCATGTTTTTTTACTAAGGTTAAATAATGTTACTATGTGTATGATTGATAAGAACAAATTATTTTTCTGTTTACTTCTCAATGTTTGTTACATATAAACAAGAATCTAGCATTTCTAAATATAAGAATTCTTTTTTTTGTTTGAAATGCCATCATATTAATTAAAAGTCTTATAAAAGACTTTTTTTTGTACACTTGAAAGATTTCGTCATACTATATCATTTTTTGTTGATCTCTCTTTCTCTCGAAAAGAAGAACGTAAAAGAACATTATATATATATGACTGTCTTCTAGATAATAGATCGCGTCAATTTTGTACGTGACAAGCAAACGTATGCCGTTATTATTCAAGTAATACTTACTTTATATCAGATGTGTCAACGTATACACACTAAAGAAGAAGAAGAAAAAAAAAACGCGAAAAACATAAGAAACAGGCTAACATATTTCTTTCTCGTTCTCATTCTGAAGCCTTCATATATAAATAGTGTGTGTACGTACCTCGCGATGACTGTTACTACGATATTATTTCTTCTGTGAGACAACAAAACGCAAAGCAAAGAACGAGCAAAAAGAAAAAGGTTAACTTGCAAAACACATTTCTAATAAAACTATTTTCAAAATACCCGTTTTTTTCTTAAAGATCATATATATAATGATATCGTTTTATTAATCATGCGTTTAACTGCAATTCTTCGTTCAGTGATCAATGCAGCAACAAATTCGAGCATCTCTCGAACAATTCCTGTTGCAACTAAACCTTCAAATATATCCGGTATAATGAAAGAAAAGAAAAATTTATTAATCCTTTTTTATTATTATTTTAAGAACCATCATTAAGTCATTCTGATAGTACTCTTATTTTATCATTAATCTTACCATCAAGACAAGAAACATGTCGATTTCATCTTAATTTACAAACCGCAACTGTTGGTCAACTTCTAGATGAAATCAAACAAGAAGATGCTGGTATTGAACATGCTCATGTATTTGATGAAAATGGAAATATATTATCAAAAGCATATAAAATAAGTTCTCTTATGAATTCATCATTTACAGTACAATTAAATAAACAAAAAACATTTCTTTTTGATGCCGTTAATAAATTACAAGTAAAAGAAAGTGCAATGAACAATCCTAAAACTGATGGACCATCAATAGAACATACTGTATCTGCACTATATCACGCATTAAATATTATGAAAGTTTATCATTCAAAATATATTGTTTTAAAAAATGAAGCCAATGAATTAGCGACACAACTTGAACCCTTAGAAAAAGTAAATTAATAGAACAAAAAAATGTATTTTGATAGATGATGAAATTTATTTTTTGTATAGATTAAAAATAAACTAGCTGATATATGTCAACGTCATACAACTCGATGTATATGGTATGGTTTAGGTGCAATGTCTTTTCAAGTTGGTATTTTAGCTGAATTAACATGGGATGTATACTCATGGGATATTGTTGAACCGATTTCTTATTTTATTGCTTATGGTACTGCAATGGGATTTTATGCATTTCATTTAATGACACGTGCTGATTTTGAATATATGACAATGACTGATCGAATATTTCTACGTCGATTCTATCGTGAAGCACGTCGTCATTCATTTGATATATCCTTATATAATCGTTTAAAAGATCGTCTTTTTATTGTACATACTGATTTAGCACGTTTAAGATCTCCGTTATCCTTATCATTACCTGCACCACCAAATCCACTTAAATGTAAAATTAGTGGAGAAGAATTAAGTCCATTAGATGCTTATCGAGCAAGTATACGTGTTGAATTATGATAAATAAACTGTGATAGTATTTAACAATAAAAAACATCTATTTTAAAATATAACAACATCAAACAAAAAAAATCTTTTTTTTCCTCTCCTTTATATTCGATGTATATCTCCTGTTTGAAATTTTTCTTTTTTTTTCACAAGTTTACAAACGATAAGTATATAAATATATATATGATAAAAAGAATCATTTGTTTATTTATGTTCTAATAAATTCCAGGCCAAACTTTCCATCGAACAACTTGACAGTACTTATCCCATGCTATGCCATATTTAAGACGACATTTTTGATCATCACGATGAGCTCGATGCATAAGTAATATGTAAAGAAATATAAAATAAATATATGGTAAAATATAATGAAAACCACATGGACATGACCAAAGAAAAGCTAATGCTAATTCTGGAATGTAATGAAAATGTCTTGATATTGCCCAATAACCAGATGCAAGAAGAATACTTTCAGATTGTTTACCATTTAATAAAACATATTTTGCACGAATTATTTGAGCTGGTTTACCCCATACTTTACATTGACCATTACTTGATCGAACATCAATTTTTTGTTGATCACAATCATAATTAATATAAATTGAAAGAAAACCTAATGTAAGAATAATAATTGTTAACACTGGGCCAAGTTTATTTGGATGTGTAACAAGAAAATATGATGGAAGTGTATAAAGACCAGATACCCAAACAAGACAACCCCAACAAAGATAAAAACCAGCACGATCAACAATAATATCCATTGTTTTCATATAACCTAAATGATAATAATTATTATTAATTGCAATTTTTTCTCTCGATGATAAAACAAATCAATATTGCATATACGTCATCATTAAGATATTTTTACATTTATAAATATACAATAATACTTCTATCGAAATAAGATACATTTGTTTTTTTTATGCTCATGTTAATACATTGATAGCAATTATGATAGAGTAATGTTTATTCTATAAGAAATCCGGGATGTATGCGACAGCAAGTAGAATTATTAGAATGAATCATGCATTTGCTTCCTGTTGGAGAATATTTAGAAATCTAATACATATATATATATAAAAGAGAATACGATCAAGCATTCTCAATAGCTTTTTCTTAGTCCTTATGATTTAAAATCTTCAAGTAATAATTTCCTTTGGTTATTAGGATCCCTATACTATGATGCTTGATCGAGATATTCATTAAACAAGGGTAAAAAATAACTTATTTGATAAATCAAATTTTTCTGTCCAGGCTCATACTTCGTTTGTAAAAGCATGTCAGGATGTAGTGCAGTATGAAGCTGTTATTTTTTAATTCTTATTTCTTAAGTGGAAAAAAGGATAACAACATGAAGGTCGCATAAAACCCTCAAAACATGAGTGGCCATTAATGTTACCGGTTGCATATGTAATAAATAAAAAATGATTAAGTAAATAAAGGCATCTACATTGCAATACAATTTCACAGACTCTTTCAAATTAAACACAAAATTTTTACGTATATGATAAAACTTTGCCTCAAAACATGATATCAATTTGAAGGCGGGCTACCCTCTCATGTGTTTATCTCAATCTCAAAATCTTTGATGAAAACTAATATTTTTTAAGCGGAGCCTGGATAATTCTTTGCCTATAGAATGCAATAAAATATTTATAGATAAAATATTATTTCTCGAAGAATCAATGAATCTGATAGTATCATATTTGATATCTATAAGAAAGTTCTAGAAAATAATAGAAGAATTACTTACCAGATTCCCACCAAAAAAATTTTGTTAAATAAACAAGTGTTAATAAACATGTAACTAATGCACTATCTGTATAACCATGAAGTTCAAATGTTTTCATACAAAAAATACTTGATAAAAGTGCCCATGATAACATACCATATCGACAATTGGTTATAAGTTTAATATCAATATTAAATATTCTTGGATATAACTCAACTCCACGATAAAAATCTGTTAACCAATTGGATGATGATCGATGATCATCTGTTGATGGCATATATTTACCTTTTAACATGACAAAAAAACATAGAAGAAAAGCAAATGTATTAACAGTTGAAAGAAATTCTTCCCAATGATCATAAATATATGTTGGAGAAAGATGATTTAATTTTAATACAATTGTTAATAATATAAATATAATTAATGATACAATATAATAAATAAAACCATTATTTCGATAAATTGGTACATGACCTGTATCTGTTATAGGTCCAGCATATTCTTCACCTGGTAAAATCATTGTCATTACAATAGCATATATTAAAAATGATATTATAATTATTACGGATGGCCAATGCCATTGAAAATAAAAAAAATTTTCTAATACATGTTTTAATGTCATGGTTTGATCGAAGAACAGTCGTGAAAAAAATTCTATGATCGATCCATGACAATGGCCACATATGAAAACAATTGATCGAACAAAAAATGGACATGAAAAACATAAGATTAATGGAAAAATTGATTCCGACCAAAATTTATTATGACCTTGACGAGTATGAATTGATAATTGATGTGATATATCATTATGATCCGTTGTTAAATCCACAGACTTCTTATGTTTAAATTTGTCTTCACTCTGGTTAGGCATATCTAATAAAATGTAATAAGAAAAATATCTAGTATTTATAGGAAAGAAAAATGACTAGGCTATTCTATAGTTTATTTATACTTTGTCATTTCATATGACTTTTGTACTGAGATAAAAAAAAGAAAAATGATAAAGTATAAAAAGATCAAATGTACTGAGGTTTGAAAAAAATTAATTAAAAAGAAAAGAATGATCCATAAGCTATTATTGGTTGGTCGAAATATAATATTGGTGCATTTTCTTTCTTGGAATGATGATGTGCGCGTTTTGCCGGAAATAGAGTATAATGAAAAAAGCTTATATGACGATGACAACGACTCATCATTATTAATAGACGTAAAAGAAAGAAATTCCGCAGATCTTTTTTGTATTTCATAAACAAGAAAAAAGAGTATTTTTAATTCCTTATCTATCCATGAATTTAATTAAAATTTAAAAATAGCACTTTTGAAAATAAACAGGCAGATGAATTTTTATAAATAAATCGTTTATTGTAATAATTGTCTATTATAATTAATAGTTATTTTAATGTCATTATTATAAAAATTCTGAACAATCAATTAGAATTCTTTTCTTTAAACAAAAACCCATTTGAATGTACTTACGTACTTTGTCTAATAGATTTCTATGGCTGCTTTATTGTAATTGTGATCGTCTTTAAAGACGATGTGTTATAGAAGTGTAAAAGGATGAAGATAGTAAAAGAAAAGAGAAACCCCAAATGATGTTTTCTTGTTTTTCTCTGTCTAGATGACAAATAGATAGACTAGGGTCGTTCGTCTATTTTCTTTAACAATTCTTTCTTTTCTCTCATATATTCATTCGATATATGACACCCAACATGAATTTATATATTTTTCCTTCTTTTCCTTTGTATTTACTGTGAACGTATAGATTATTCGAATCTGATGTGTTTCTTTTTCTTTGAAATAACACATATGCAGACAGTACAGAAACTAAAAACAGATGAAGCATATTAACCCTCAATAAAACAAACTAAATACATAAAAACTAGCTCTTGTTTTTTTTTGTTCACAATATGTGGAATGAAAGTATTATCGGTATAAAAAGAAGAGAGATTCGACCAAGCGAATAAAAAATATTATATTGAGGGTACACTGTGTAAAAAAAAGAGAATAGGAAAAACACGCTTTTTGTATATACAAATCGGAAATTTATTAACGACTGTGAGTGGAAGTAATGCTTAGACCACTCGGTGTTCGATTATGGCCCATCGCTGGATGAAAACGAATTTTTGTTTGTTCCATTTCTTGTCGAGTTTTTTCTCGTACAATTAATTCGACTTGTTCATCTGGTGTTTTAAGAAGTGCATAAAATACAGTAGCATCATCCTTTAAAACAATTTCTAAAATTAAATAAAGATATATTAAAAAAAAATATTTTTTTTAATAAAACTCCTACTTCGATCAGATAGTTGTTGTTCAATACAATAATGATCACTAGTTGCTGGATCAAAACCAAATTTATCAAGTATCGTTTTCAGTACATTTGACGCTCGTTCATTATCTCCAATCTATATAAACAAAAAAGAAGAGAAATATATTACTATAATTGTAATTATGAATCGAAATGATGGTTTTCTTTTTATTTCTACTACATAACTATGCACATCCGGCAGTACCATTATCATTGTCTGGTTGAAGAGATTACTATATAATTTAAAAAGGCACCTTTTCATGCTAAAGAAAACTCGAGAACATCTTATCTATACATTTTTCTGTTTAGTATCTATTATTAAATTTGCTTTGACTAATCAGAAAAAAAAATCTCATTATAGAAGAAAAAAAATAGAATTACAATGTGACCAAGCATGAAATAAGAAATCGCTAAAAGCTCCAATCTACAATCTAATTCTTACTGTTAGAATCATGTTGTAAACATGTTATTTCTCTTATCTAACTGTTATTTAAAATTTTTGCAATTCAAAGAAGTCATGAATATTCATTAAGTAAAAGGTTAGTAGATTTTAAGACTTTAGTGATTATAAATCCTCATCAATCTTTTATAAGTATTAATCCTGCTCATTAAAAAATAGACATTTCCTTTTTATCAGCATGATATTTATAGAAAAAGCTATAATAGTTTTTTAAAAGAAGAAAAATCATGTCGAACTTACTCGAACTTTTTTATATAATAGGTCAGGTCTGCCAACGAATTGTACTTTAGCAATCAGTGTATTATTTTCTACGGGTTGATTAAAAGTACAATTAACCACACTAGTTGTTGGTGAAGCTTGTGCAGACATATAACCTATACTTGAACTAGCATTTGTAAGAAAACTTAAATCAGATGATGATGATCGTGAATGTGTTTTCTGAAAGAATAAAAAGAAAATGTAAAATAAATTTTCGTTGTTTTTTTTTTACTTTTTCACTTGCATTTGTTGATTGTTGACGTTGTGCAAATGAATGTAGAGATGATGTTAAACTGATTTTATCGAATGAAGTTGAAGATGGTGATGAACCACTTGATGGAATTGTTACTTCTGGTATTTGATAGTTAATTGTTGTAATTGATTCAAGTGATCCTTGAGATTGAAATCTATATTAACGAAAAGCAGCACATGCAAAGATGGTTTTCTATTATGAATAACATACGCTCTAAGTGGGCCTGTTCCAGATTTAAGTGTAAGATTATCTCGTAATTTTTGTTGTGGATTATCTGTTGAATCAACTAGTTTCTTCGGTTCAATTTGATAGGATCGTTCCCAACTAGAATGAATAGAGATATTTAAAAAAACGTAAGCGAATCAAATAACAGATTAATTACGTTTCCGCATCAGTATATATATGAATATTATCAAACCATGTTTGAAAATACGGTATTCGTTGAAGTGTCGTGTATGCATTAGCTGCCGATTGGAATAATTTAATTTGTGCTAATATTTCGAATTTTTTTCTGTGTTTTTCAAAATTAATTAATTTTTGTGGAGTTTTTGTATTATCATTAATAGTTATATAATTCTCATGCGCAGCATCGATAAACACTAAATCACTAAGATATAAACCTAAGTATGGTACAGTACCAATCATTTTCTATTGAAGAAAAAAGAACAACAACAGAATGAAATATTTTTGGGCGGAACAAAAAAATTCTTACATTTTCTTGATCACGTTTTTGTTTTAAACGAAATTTTCTTCCAAGTGTTGCATTGTTTATTGTTGTTACATCAACATATTTTGCTGTTGCTTCCTACAATAGAAATTATATAAGAATAGAACACTAGAATCTTAACATGCATAAAAGTGCAATTTTGTTAATAAGTAAAAAAAAGCAAGAAGCGTACAATAGAGCAATAATAATCATTCAAACCTACAGTGCATTCTGGTAACATCAGACGAATTTCATCTAATTGCTGCAAAAATATAGATTTAGCTTTTCTAATATTTATGATTATATATGTATAAATAATAAACTAAATTATTATATTCTATATCTTATTTACCTTGTCGAGAATAGCTCGTGCTTGTTGTCGATTAGCACCACAACTACCGAAAATACTTTTTAATTCATCAAATATTGAATTTTGACTGGAATCAACACGAGACCATGCTGTATTTAAACGATATATGCATCCCGATTGCAGACCATTTAAAATAGCTGTTAGAGATGAAAAATTTTTTAATTGTCGACATTCATGTGCAATATCAATCCATTTTTCAATAATACGAGCACGTAGATGTTCATTATTTTCTTTTAATATAGTTGCTATAACTCGATAAGTAACAGCATTAAATTGTTCGATAGTTTTATCAGCTGTTGATAATGGATAATTACTATTTAATCCTCGTCGATTATTATTAGTTTTTCCCATAGTTAAGCATTCGTAGGGTAAAACTTGTTTTAATAATTCCTAGAGAAGAAAAGGCGATATTGATATTGAGAATAATTTCAAAACATACGGCATCAACAATGGTAAGTTGTTCAGCAATTTTAACACTTGACATATCAAGAAAATTCCTTTGTGCACTTGTACCAAAGCCTTTTTGATTATATAAAAGTTCATCAGTATAAGAAGTTCTTGAATTATTATTATTGTCGACATCATTTATCGACGTCCGAATATCTGAAAATAGAAAAGATTTAAAAGAATAATTTAATATAGAAAGAAAATTAATTACTTGAATCTGAATGAAAAATATCTGCTCCTTCTTTTAAAAATCGGTGTAATAAATTTTGACATTGTTTTTTGAAATCTTGATCAGGCACATGTTCAAGAAGATAATTTAATGTTGAATAATGTGGTGGTTCATAAAAATCTTCCTTATAAGCAGTTAATAAACATGTTAAGGCCGTAGAAAGACTTCTAAAATAAATTTTTTTTAAACCCAATTACCCGAAAAACTAAAAAAAGAGACAATTAATTTCATACTTTAGATTTTTTTGCCGAACATCTTCAGTCATGTCGAGTGAGGCAGGAACTACCGCTCGATAACGAGCTAATATTGTTTCAATTAATGTTCTCGTATTTGTATATGTCCGATAAGTCGCGAACAAAATATGCATATGTGATGTGTCTAGATCGCCATGCTTACTTGTTAAACATTCTACAACTTTTTCAAGTGTCCCAGCTTTTAGTTGATAAATTTTAACAGCTGAATAAAGATGTTCACCACGATTATTATTTAGCGAATTATCCTATAATGAATAGAATAGAATAAAAAAAGAAGCATGTCATTTTTTATAATAATAATTTTATTCTAACCTGTTCAGTGCCTAATTTGTTTAGAGTAGAAGATGAACCAGTAGATACCAATGACTTTTTTCTTGTTCGTTTTAAATATATTTTAAATATCGCATTTTCTTGTCTTTCTTCACTGGCTAATTGTGGCTCTTGAAGATTCTATATAACAAAAGAAAAATAAATATTCAATCATTATTAATACCTTATTAATACAAAACAAAATTAATAGATCATTTTTATTCTACCTCAGCTTTAATAGTATCATTGGAATGTCGTCCTAATGCTTGTCTAACAGCATTAGAACCATATGGACGAGCATTCGAAATAGCTCTCGTAAGTAAATTAAAATCAAGAGTCGATACTAGAGTAGATTGTCTTTGTAATTTTTTTGGTTTAGTCGATGAATATTCTTGATCATCTGGTTGTGGAAAAGGAACAGAAAGTGATGAACGTAAAACAGGACGTGGTGTTATTTCTGACACATTATATCCATCTTCTGTTTCTATATCGTAGTCCAACATAGAGTTAAAATTCTGAATGGTGTGTTCGTACGATAGATTGAATGTAGTGACAATTACAAAGAGCAAAAGAAAAAAACCGAGGGAAAAGATAAGCTTCCAACTAGTTTGTCGATGAAGAGCAACAACAGTTTTTTTTTTCTCTTTTTTTTCCTTATCAGTAGATTCAAGCAAACAAGATATACTCCTAAAGTATGCAAACAATTTATAACACTGTCTTTGAAAAAAACCTTCAGCGGAGATTCAATGAATCTTTCATCAGACGAAGTGTGATCTTTAAATAAACAAATAAAAACGAGAATTCTTTTTTCTCTCTTCTAATGTGTTTGAGTGTATGATAATCTTATTTTTTTTTAAATAAAGAATATATTGACATTTGTATATATATATAATTCTACAAATGGAAATCTCTTACTTGTTGGTGTGAACTAATCATTGTAATAAAACTATTGTCCACAAAAACTAATGATCAAATATCAAATGTCAATGACAGTTGAAAAATGAGAATGTCTGTGGAATTTAAGTATGTTGACTATGCGTGTATACATATTTTCTTTAATCTTTATTTTCAATCAAGGTTATTATCGATTAGAATTATGTAAGAAGAAGAAAAAAATAAATTAACATTTATTTGACTTACTATTGGACATTGTTCTATTTGAGAATAAATATTTTGTTGACTAAAACTTTTTACTGATGAACAAGGTCTTGTTGATAAAACTATTCGACGAATAGATCGACGACTAAGGGACATTTGAATAATAATAATAGTATTATATTATAGCTACGAAGTTATTAATGTAGCATCTGTTCACTATTAGTTTACTTCTACTAACGCGTCAATTAAACGAACAGAGTGAATATTGACAAGTGAACAAAAGAGACATAGAGAAAAGAAAAGAAAATAATAACAAAAAAAATCGATGACTCATCTCGACTTAATAAATGATATATATATGTTCTGAAGATTAATATCATGATAAATAATAGAAATTTTATTGATTACTAATAAAAAAATATGAATAGAAATAAATATATTTTTCTTATCAATCAATTAATCACTGCACATTAACGACATCTAATACATATAAAAAATCCATAATAATCAATCAGTCTATCAATCGAACAAATTATTTTTAGTCGAATACATGATTATAATCTATAAACAGAAAAAAACCTTTTTGTCCTTAAAGTTTCAATAAATTACTGTCTATGCAAACTTTTATTGTGATAAATATTCGTATGTTCGTTTAACTACAACGACTATATCAATATTTATTTTTCTTCTTCTTCTTTGATACAAAAAGAACAATGTTATCACATTTCCAAGATAAAAAAAATCATGTTTATACATTCTTTTTTCAAATATTAAATAAGAAAAAAAAGAAACTTAAACATGTGCTAAATATATCAGATTTATTGGGTATTTTGTAAAAGTTTAAAGCTTTTCAATTATTTTTAAGAGAATATTTTAACTAACTTTAAGCAGGTCAAGTTTTTCAACAAATTGTAGCTTATAACTATGTACTTTTTTTTGCTTGAGCATCACCAGCCGACTCAGCACAGTCCAGAGTATCTGTTAGGACAATCAAACACAGATGATTACAGTTTTCAGGTCGAGTTTTTCGCGAAAATTTAGACATTGAACACACTTAACTTGATCCTTTAAGCATTTCGTTTATTCAAGAATTATATATGAATTTTTATTTTTAATATATTCAAACATAGATATATTTATTAACTTTAATATCTGAATAGATTTACAATAGAAAACAAAAAACTATCAAAAACGAAAAAAAGATAGTCATTTTAAATTATTTTAGTGGAGTAATAATACGTGATTGGATATTCACAGAATTTTTATTTACAGTTGATAATGATGAAGCTGATGAATCAGCTGAGATCATTTTAAATAAACGCGGTGATGAACCACGATTTGTTGCTTCTTCACGAGATCGTAATGCTTGAAGACGATACCAATGAGATTTATCATCAATTACTTTTGGATCTTAATAAATAAAAATGGAATAGATTTATTAGGAAAATTATATATGTTACTTTTTAAATCAATTGTGACTTGACCAAGAAAATCATTTGCTTTAAAACGATCATAATCCCATATCGTAAATTCAAGTTTTTTATATTGTAATTCTTCTCGATGCATATGTCCGTATGTAACAGTTTGATCCCACACAGGATTTAATGTTTTCGATACATGTTTTATTCGACGTTTATTTTCTTGACTATAGAAATAAAATTAGTTTTTATATTATTGAATAATTATTCTAACAATGGGAATTAAATTTCCTTAAAAAATAACTATCAAAAGTCTATAGACAAATTTTTATTAATTTATTTATAATATTAGATTGATTTAACAAAACGGAGAGTTATTTGAACAGGACTAATTCTCAATGGAAATCAGCTCGTTCTTATTCAGTCACAATTTTTTATATTCATATTCGCATGAAAATCATTTTAATATTAGTTGATATCCGGGGCGCGTGGGGGTGTAACTCCGACCTACTTTGGAAATGTTTTTGCTCGCACAAATTTTAAAAATCGAAAAAAACATTTTTCGTGCTAAGTTTAAACAAAAATTTGTGCTGCGCGCCCCTCCACCCTCCTCTTGGCACGTTCCTGATTGATATATTTCAAATAAAATCTGACACTATAGTTTATTCAATTATTTCTATAGGATATGTTTTTGACAGACAAGAAAATAAATGATGGAACGAAATATAATGAGTCTGGCATAGTAGATCTAATATATCTAGTTAATTAGTATAGTTATTGTCTGACACAAGAGTGGAATAATATCATGTAAAAAACAGGGTAATTGTTTTCGTTGGAGCAGAAATGTTTTTAATGGTATCGCAGTGATTACTTAAACTCATTTCCTCAGAAAATATAGAAAACACATGAGACAGACATTAGTTTCAAGCGTATAAAATGCACCTATCTGTATTTATTTCGTAGGAACATTTTGGATAAATAGCCCGAAGGAAAAATCTGTTTTTGGAAGAAATTTTCAAGATCATAACAAATTGAGCACCGATGAACTGCGCAGTCTGTTATAACTAGCAGGTATTCATTTAATAGGCAGACATCATAAATAAAATGTGTACAATTAGCCGTGCATATATATGTTTGCATGACCTCATTATAGTTTTGGTTGATAAAATATTTGAGTTAAAATTCTAGTATAAAGTTATATCTATATACTTACTCTCTTCCTGGTAGTAAATAAATTTTAACAAATGGATCTGAAAAACCATTTGCATCTTTTGGTAATAAATTTTTTGCTTGAATTATTCGAACAACTAATTGTTCACGTTCACTATTATGTCCTATTTGTATTTCAATATCACCAGCATAATCATTTTCACGTAATTGATTAACAATAACATTATTTTGACTAGAAAAATCGACTGATTTCGTTTTTTTCTTAAGAAATTTTAATGAAGCTAATGCTAATGACGATTTTCTTTCGATACTTGTTGAACCTCTTGCTGCTCGTTGTTTATTATCGGATTTAAGAAAATTTTGTAAATGACGTGATGTAGTCATTCGATCACTTGCAATTGGTATAACACTTTGACTACGTCCATGTGATAATAATTTAACCATTGAATGATCTAATTGATTTTGTGATGTTTGAAAATATTGTGATAAACTATCACATTCATCTGATTCATTTGAATTCTCTCGTTCAATACTTAAACTACTTCCAGCACCATTTAAACCAGGATCATTCGGTAATAAACTTGAACGAGGACGATGTGAAAATAAATTTGATGATTCTTCAGCTGATGTTAAGATATTCTATGAAAAATCGAAAAACAAAAATCGAAAGATTTTATGAAATAATTCTATTACTGTTGGTAAAAGTTTGTCTCCTTCTTGTTTAGATATATCATTCGATACTATTGTTTTTTTTTGAAGTGAACAAATCGATGTTGATTTCGATTTTGTAACTGTATTATTTGTTGGTGCTAATTTTAAGATATCTATTGAATGTCTTCGTTGAATATTATTATCAGTTGTTACAAATGTATTAGTCGATTGTTTACGAACAATTATTTCGAATTCATTTTGTATTGTATTCATCAGATTTTCAACAAATAAAGCACTCTTACCACGTAATGATACACCACCAAGTTCAAGTACTTCATCACCTGTAAATTCATAATGAAAATTTGGTTGTTTTTTAGGAAAATAAAACGAACCTTCTTGAACAACATTTTTAAGTATTTGATAATTTCGATGATTTGTATTAATATTTTCAATAATCGCTGTGACTTCCATACAATGAGCAATTGAATGACCACCAGTTATACGAAAACCTAAACCAGTAGATGTATTATGTCGAGATGGATTTAATATAAGTTTTGTTATTGGAAATGGATAGGTTATTTCTGTACTTGTACTCTATAGATAGTCAAGAAAAAGAAAATATTGATTTATTGAAAATTTATTTTTCGAAAAACCTTTTGTAATTTTCTAGTTGGTGGATTGATTGGAGAAGCAAGTGATTCAATGATATTACTTAATGGAGAAATATCTTTTTTTTTTAATTTTTTCTTCGATGATTTCATTGATAATTTTAAACTTGATAATGGAGGAGTATTTGTTGTTTGATCTCGTAATTGTTTAATTTTAGATTTAAAATTATCATTTGACATACTTAGATGTTGATTATTTACAATACTAGGTTTTGATTCATATTCAAATTTTGAAGATAATGTTCGATTCATTGAACCAATCGGATCAGTAAGATCAATTTCAAGTAAATCACTTTCATCCTCAAGATTCTGTTGAGAATTCATTATAGGAACTGCTGGAAGAGTAAAACGTGATTCCGAATTAGCACGACGTAATTGTAATTGAGTTAAAGGAGTGAAATTTGGTACAGATGGTAAATTACGTTTATGTCGGTTTGGAGATAGCATACGCTAAATAGAAGAAATTTTATTAATTATAAAAGATTTATGAAAAGCATAGAATAAAGTAGATTAATTACTACTTAGCTAAATTGTATAATGATGATATAGTTTTTATATGAATTATATAATAAAAAAGAAAAGAAACTTGGTTTATTAGTATTTGTTCATTCGCTCAATAAATATGTAAACCTTGAGAGTAGATTATGAATACTAGAATAGAATTTGCTATCATTTAAATATGTCAAGATGAGTTTACTTATAAATGCAAGATATTGCCTGTTACAATATTTTTTCTAGCGTGAGGTGCCGAGAGAGTGGTTCCCTTTGGAGTTCATGATAATTGTGTCATATACTATCTGTTTCGTCTTCCGTTGATAAATATAAATGTATTTGAAAGGAAAAACCTGGATAGAATACTACTCTATCATGATTATTATTGTTTTTTAAAGACAATACAATACATATTCTATAACTAATATTTTTCTTTCTACTTTAAATATCTCTTTTTTTTTCTCGTATGGTAGTCATAAAACTCTATTATACAGTAATGAAATATAATATGCTTTCCGTAAGTGTCAATAACGGTTAATCTGTATAATTGATTATTTTTTGAAAGTTTTTTTTTCTAGTTTAAAAATTACATTTCTATAGTGAAAGTATTTATTACAATACTATTATATTCCTTCTAAGATTCTTTTGAATATATATATATATATATATATATATATGTATGTATGTCAATAATAAGCTAAGATGCTTTTCTTCCTTTCATATATTTCAATAAATGAAATTAGCGACGACGAAAAACTATTTCATAGACTTATGCAAAACTGAAATACAATTACATAATTCTTATTCTATTAATAAAACCTTGTGTTAATTTTATTATGGAAAAAAGATTGATTCGACAAATATTTATTTTGATTTGACTAACTAATGGATTAATGAAATTAATTAAAATTTTCAACATATATTAATATCAAATTTAGACATTTAGTTTTTTTTATTTACCTTATTGAATGTCGATGATATTTTTTGTATTGATTGATAAGATTCAGGTATTGCTGGTATAAGAAGATCAGTTAGATTTTCTCGTATACCATTCGAACGACTAAGACTACCTCGACGATTATTAATTGGAGGAGGCACAGAAATAGAAAGACTAAGCGGATGTGTAGGAGGATGAGAAGAAAATTCATTTGCCGATGGTGAATCAATTTCCATTTCAAGAATTAAATTTGTAACATTTTTTTTTCCAGGTAATATTGATGAATTATTTCTTTCAATTTCTTCTAATGGAATATATCGAGATAAATTTTCTATAGTTTTTTCTAATTCTTTAACATGATCATGTTCATCATGATTATCTTCATCAATATCTTCTTCAATTTTATATGATGATATGATTTGTTGTTGTTCTTCAATTTTATTTGATGTTATATATGGACTTGGTTCTTCATAGAAAAATTCATTTTCATCGATTTCAGTTAGATTATTTGTTCGAGATAAATCAGAAATAATTGATTGATCACTATTTTGTTCAACATGATTTTTTGTATAAGAATTATAATTTCTATCTTGTATTTCTTGTTCTATTGTCATGATATTATCATAGATCCTATCTCCTTCATTATTATTATGATTAGTTGTAGCTGATATAGGCGAGAGTGTTTTTTTTATTGATGTCGGCTAATAACAAAAAAAACTGACATTGAATTATTTATGAAATAACAGAGCAAACATACTTGTTGATTTGTAAACGTAATATTATTCTCGAGTTTATAATCAATCGATTTATTCTCTTCACATTGAGAACAAATTGAGAAATTTTCTTTTTGTATTTTACCGCATATTTGACATTGTTGATGAATAATAGTCGTTAATGTTGATTCTTGTGATGTTAGAAACTTTTCAACTTCATTGTTACTAATAATAAACGACAGAAGAATTAAATATTATCATTAAATGAATGAATAATGTGTTTGATTGAACTATTTTTAGATTATTCTAAGATGATTTCATGAGCTTTTCTTTATTTGACAGCGACGTAAATATAAATTTCTAGGAAAGCAAGAATGAAGAAAAAAAACTCTAATCTACTTACATTTCATTATCATATTTTTCTAGCTTGTCACTAACAAAACTATTCGTCGAGGTTGATGATGATGATGATGGTGAGATTGATGCTGCTGGTGACATAGTTGATGGAATAGTAGTAGTTACTGGTAATAAAGGAGATTGTTGTTCATCAACAGCTCTTGCTCGTCTCAATACATTAGCTATATGTTCTTGTTCTTCTCGATTTAAATGACTTAAATCGATTTCAGCCGGTGTTATTACAGGTGGTGGAATTAAAATCGTACTCGCTCTTGAACTTCGCATACTATCCATTGATACCGGTTTTGATATATATACAGCTGATGATGTTGAATATCTTGATTCATGATGTTCATTAAAAGGTGTTGTTGAATAAAAATAATGATGTGTTGATTCCGGAATTGAAGAAGAGGATGGTGATGATCGCGGTGGTGGCGCAAGATCAACTGTTACATCCTGTACCCACTTTTTTAATGAACTTAACATTTTATTTGTTATATATATGATGATGATGATGATATAGCAAACGAATAATTAGAAGTATAATGACATATGATGTGATAATATACCACAATCATAGTAATTCAATATTCTCTTTCATGCATAGTGTACTATTGATCTATTACTTAGAAATTCAACTTCTAGAACACTCACTAAATTGTGTGTGCATGTATCTATATCGTTTCTCGTTCTTATTAGAATTGCTCGACGTGCTTTCCTCACTTTTTCCGTCCAGTATGCCTCTCCGGCTCTTGTTCTCTAGTCGTCCTTCTCTATTTTCCGTTAATATATGTATGTGTGTTACTTATCCTACGCGAAACCACATCACATTCTTTTTCTTTCTTGTCTTCTTCATCACCATTGAGTGGTAACATTTTTTGGGAGAGAAAAAAAAGCTAACATTAGAGAGAGAAGAAAAGAGAAGAGAAGAGAGAAACGATAAAGAATGTTCGTCAAAAGAAAAGATCCGGAGAGAATTTTCTTGTTTGATGTTCAATAACAATTTCCTGTGTATTAGCAATTATAATGAAAAATAGAATGATAAACTACTCAATTTAATATTTAACTTATCAGTTCATAAAAAGCTCATGTAACTGTTAATAATTAAAATAAATTATACGGTTCGATAGATTGTATTTTTAAATTACATGAGTATACATATACAGAACAAAAGAAAAGAGAAGAGAAAAAGATACTTGTTCTTTGATACAAACAAAACAAAAGAGGAAAAAAAAGATAGAAATTTGAACTCTGAACTACAGAAGAAAAAAAACAAATTGATTTTCATTCGAAAAGAACAAAAAAATTAATAATCCAAGAGAATAATATTAGCAGAGAGATTGCGTAGAAGAAGTCAATTGATTATATATTTCTTTTTTTTCTCATTAATATTTGGAATAAGACTACAATGAAAAATAAGAAATTGTAAGAATAAAAAAAAAGAAACATTTTTTTGATTAATAATATACCGATTTTGACCGTGTATAATATGAATGACTTCCTAATGAACTTGTTACCATAGATGATTTACCACGTTGTACAGCTTTTAAGAAACTTGAGGATATTGCATGACGATTATTACTATCGGCGACAGTTAATGTTGTACCAAGATTTCTTGCTGCTACATTCATATAACGACCGGTTGGATAAATTGGACTAGAATTTGAGGAAAAAAACAATAAGTGTGTGTATTCATGCAAATATAAATTCATTAAGAATAGGAAAGGTACTTTTGCTTGATTAACTCAAATATTTCTTCTTCTTTTTTTCATGTAGAAGTTAATACATACGTTTTCATCATAGATGCAGCGGATGAGATGTATGAACGAGGTTTTCGAGAAACAGAATTTATAAGAATATTAGAAGGAGTCATCGGTGTTTGCACATAAAAACGACGTATGCCAGCTGATGAAATTTCACGGTATGGTACATGTGTTGAACTAGCTAATGTTGTATGTGCACGTTTGAAAGATGATGTCGGATGCAATCTATTAAAATAGATTTTTAAAGTAGAAAATTGAATACTATCTTGAAATTTTTTTTTAAGTAGCAATTCATACAAAATCAAGCAGGAAATATATAATGAATTTAATAGAAATATTTGATTATATGAAATCAAAAGGGAAATCATAAATAAATTAAAAGAAAACTTGATCGTGATTTTGTATTTTGTCTCTAATAAGAAACAAGTTTTTGTGATTAAATAAAGATATATAAAGCAAGTGAATACATTCTAGAGATATTCATAAAAATCATAAACATTAGATTATTGTGCATTTGTCATGATAGTATTTGTTCATTAACACTATTTCAATGTTCTGAGTAAAAAAGCGAGTAAATAGATTAGAAAAATATTTTTTGTGATATTGTGTTTTTGCATCAGATCATTCACACATTCATTGAACAAGCAAGTTTTAGGAGTAATAGAAATAAAATAAAAACCAAGCAATACAATGGAAAATCTATTCAATATAAATCAACTCCTTGCGTTTTTCTTTGTAAAGAATATTTTATCCATGTGTTTGCAATTTTATCTCAAGTACCTATTCTTGATAATAGAAGCATTATTATTGTTATGCGTTCGAATTTGATGTAATTGTAATGCTTTTTTTGATATAAATTTTTTATTAATACATTTATTACATATCATTAATGATTGATTACCAGTACCATTTTGTTGATTATTCGTATAGAAATGATGACTTTTCATATGTTTGTTTAGTGCCGATAATGAATTATGAGTTTTCATACAAAATTTACATCTAAATTAAGCGCTCATATTTTCTTTTAACTCTTTTAAATATGCAAAAAACACTCTCGCCTTCTCTATTATCAGACAAATGAAAAGAATACTCTAATATCTTACAATAGATTTGTATGATGATGCTGTTGTTGTTGATGATGCTGCATACGACGTGCTTTTATTTCATTTAATCTATCACCTTGAGTAATTTCTCCTTCTTTTTCTTCCTATACGAAAAATATAATAATAAAAACAAAAAAATATTCACAAAAGAATATACAAACTTCAACGTTATTATTTTCGCCAACTGTATATCGATATGAATTATGAGTTCCTAAATCTACTGCAGAATGTGCACTAAAACCTGGTACATTTCGTGATCGATCTTTAATTCGATGTAAATCTCCTAATGACCAAAGCCATGCTTGTTTTCTAGAATTAATAAGACAAAACAAAAAAACGTTTTTCAAATCTAATCTATTTAAACTTACTCTTCAAGATAATTTTGTTGTGGACCAATAACTGAACCAGGTCGACATACTCTTAACCAAGCAATAACTTCAGCAGCTGTAAATTTATGATGTTTCATTAAATATGCTCCAATTAATGTACCCGTTCGACCAAGACCCGCTTGAGGGAATAAACCAAAATCATATTTAATAAAAATATTCTTTATACTACGATTCTTACCTTTACAATGAACGGCAACTCCACCTTTAGCTTGTTCAACAATAGATATAAATTTTAATGTTATGGCATCATTCGGTGTACTTCCATCAGAAAAAAATAAATCATAATGTTCAAAACCCGCATCAGTAAAACGTTTTGCATCATAAATTTTTTTATTTAATCGTATAATTGTTGATACATTACGTTTTCGAAAATAAGTAAAATAAGCTTCAGGTGCATGTAATGGATAACCCTATAAGAATAATTAAAAATAGATAATGAAATAAATAAATCTAACTTACATTTTCAATTTTACTCTTGGAATGTGGACCTGAAAAAGCAAGTAATTTACGAGGAATAATCCAATTTAAATCACCATTTTCAACTTTCTATTAAAATATAAAAGGAAAAAAAAATTATCTTTTTTTTTGTTATACAAAAGAAGAAAAAAGTCTGACTTCATAATGTTCATATTCATCAAGGTCAAAATTTTCAAAATCAAAAAAACCATGAAGTATTGCCTATATATATTTCACAAAAAAAAAAAGAAATAAAATATTGAATAAAATAAGCAATTAACCTTATGAAGGCCTTGTAATGTATCAAGTAATGTTAGATTATATGAAGATGAACCAAGTGATGCATCCCGAAATGGTAGAAATGAATGTGTAGTATTAATACCACTTATTAATGGTCTAAAGGCTTCTTCCGGTGTTCGTTTTAGACAAATAATCTATTAATATATATTCATATAGTGTAAAGAAAAAAAAAGGATGTCAAGCTTTATATCACGATAGAAAAAAAAATCTACATCATCTATCAAGCTAATGGGTACATCATAAATAATGATAGTCTTGGTATGTGATGAATATTTAATCGTTCGATTGACTATTGGGTTTAGTTCAGAAATTTTTTAGTGTCACGTTTTCTGACTCAAAGCTTTTGTTGTATAGTTAATATGAATAGCTGAAATATGGGATTATTGTTGTCGGTAACTATTATGAAGTTGAATACTCAATGACAGAGAAATACACTCATAGGAAATAAAGCAATCTAAATTAAAACTAAACTTCGAACAAATCTACGAAATAAATCATGTAGAAATTCTAACAATATATACGTAGTTATGTTTTTTTGACTAACAATCTAAAAAAATTATCTCTCACTTCACATACTTCTTAATCATCCAAGATTGATGTCGGACTATATGCTTACTCAACTGAAATAAAATCTTCATTATATATACGTGTGTAAATCTTATTTCCTACGTGAACATATTCCATTTGTAATGATTATGTTAAACTAACTGTCAAATCTTTAACTAAATCTATCGAAGAATAAAGCTTGACATGTTCTTGTAAGTCGTATTTCTTACTGAATATGCAGCAATTAAAAAAGCAGCATTGGCTCGTTTTTTTGGATCAACTTTTGTAAAATGAATAATTCTTTTATGTGCTAAACTTGGATTCTAAATAAAAAATAAAATCATTCTTGTTTTGTTTTTTATATAAATATCCATATACATTTAATTTTTTGTTAAGTTTTGTACAATACTGATGAACAGATGCTAAATTTAATGGACCAAAATCTGAATAGAAGCTTGAAAAAAGAAAAATATAGTTGATTTTGTATCATTTTAGATATGAAAAATCTATTTTCCTTACTGTTCATATGTAAATTCGTCATCAATAGAAAAATAATGTGAACGAACAGATGATTTTGGTCTTATACGTAATGTTGCAAAATAGAGACGATCTTTAATAATTTCAGATGCGGTACCGATAGTATCGGTTTCGCTACTGATGCCACCAGCACTGCCATTTGTCATTGGTTTTCAATAATATATAGATGTATATTCAAATAGTTTATTTTGTATTAAATGAACAATCGATTAATAAATTAACTTTAAAAAAAATGTCTAATTACAAAACCCAGACCGACGGAGACTAAAAGAAAACAGAATAATTAACGAAACGAATAGTATGAATGTATCTACCTAGACGAAAGAGGAAAAAAGAAAAAAATTATATCGATTTTAATTGTTCTGTCTTAAGGAACCGCAAGAGAGAAAGGAAAGCAAAGAGAGAGAGAGAGATGAATAAGCGAACGAATCAGCAGCCGTTGTTAACCGCCATTAACCATGCAATATGCCTCTGTTTATATCGATTATTGAATGACATACCTTACATCAATACGAAATATTATGATAATTAGTTGAGTAAAATAATATCATATAAGATATATTACTGGTTCTTTTTTTTTCTTTAAACTCTAGGAAATGTCAAACGTAAGATGTCACTAAGTGTCTTAGAAGAGAATATATATGTATATATATATATACGTATATATATATGCGATCGAATCGAATTGACACCTCAGGTGTGAAATGAAATGTTTGTCGAATACAGAGGTACCGCTATATGATAGCATCTCTTCATGGTTTTCGATGACAGTCACACAATACTATGCTATAATAATGTGAAATGAACGAGATCATGGTTCGAACTGAAAATTTTTAAAAAAATTTCTATGTCAGTTGAAACTATTCTACTGCTCGTTTTAATATTTAGTCAAGGGCGAATATTCTCTATAGTTTTATTTAGCTCTAGACAATATCTATTGCAGCTATAGATCGAAAATTAAAACTATCACACTTCTCTATAACGATTACTCAAAGATCTAGACTTCCATTTCTTTGAATTATAACAACATCAGTATCATGCAAAGTCCTTCATTTTTCTTATAATATATATATGATCAAGTTCCCCTCAGGAAATCATCTGAGTATATATCATTTTTAATCGTGAAATATCTCTTATGTGTTCATAATGATTAAGGACTTTTCTTTTTAATCATTCTACAATAAATAATCTTAAAAAATACGGATAAATGAATCATTACCTGTATGAATGCTTCCAATATTTGAATAAACATATAAACAAACTAACTTTTACTTATAAATATTCTTAATTTTAACAATTTGGAATGAAAATTAATTAGATGTTTATATGTTTTTTGCGAATATCGACGTCCAACATCATCTATACTTTATACGATCAGATAGAAGTTTGATGGAACACAAAAATAGGAACCCGAAAATATATATGTTTATTAATTAATTAAAATAATAGTCAATAAAAAAATAAACAGAAAAATATTTTAATTATTAGAAAAAAACATATTTATGTTGGTCATATAATTAAAGTCTATCATTCGATTTCAAACATACTGATTTATTCTTATAAAATATATTGTCATACAGAATTGTTTATTTATTTCTTTTCCTATCAACGTTTATTATATTTGTATAATAGTATATACAAGGACAAAGTAACGGTTGAATGATAATAATATACGCATACACCATTTCTTTTCTTATACGTCTGATTTTTCAAATTAATATTAGTCAATTAGAGATGTAAAAGTAACGGCAATAGTGATTCACTGTAGTAGTAGAAGTTAGCTACTTTTATATTCTGAAATATTTATGAGCATAATTTTCCACAAATAATAACTTTATTAAGTGTAAATATCATCCTTCTTTTTTTATTTTTAATAACATTTCATTATAGAACTAATCGAGTGTATAAGTGATTTCTTATTGTTTTTTTTTAATAAATCAGCTATAAAATGAGATTCCTTGACAGCGGAACTTGTGATTAAGCTTGACGGGAAATTGTTATTTTCGTAAATTAGATATATTTTAACTGAAAAATCAAGGTTAAATAGTTTCCATAATTGATTATTTAATAACAAATAACTGACAGCTCATCGTCATGACTGTATCCTTATTAGTCAAATAATTAATAGAAAAGAAATGAGAAATTTATATAGAAAAACATTACTATTAAACAGAATCCTATTTTTATCTTTTTTGTTAACGATGAAATAGAAATATATTTTGTTATTAAAATATAGGAGGGTTGGAAATCACAAGAATTATTGAAATAGATCTGATTGTTTGTAGTGAAAATATTAACGAGATTTAGATGTAAAATGAGATGTGAAACTGTAATATACAATAGATGTTGTAAGATTATGTATATGAACATGCTTTCCTTTTACAAAAATAATACAAACAAAAACTAGTTAAGAAACGAATACATCTGCCTAAAATCTTGTTCAATTACTTTCACAGCTATGAAATAAGTAACTAATAATAAATAAATTTGTTTATCTCGAAATATATGCCGATATTTTTAATACAATTTATGGTTTTATGTTGATCAAAGCAACTTTCTATTTAATTATTTCAATCATTCAAAAGAAGTATTTCATCACAAAGAAGATGATATCAGATTATGCTTGAGAAATAGATAATTCGAAAACATTTGCTCATTAATGTAAAAAGGAAGATTTTATTGATTCAATAGTCTTAAATCATACGTAAAACGAATAATTCAACTATTCTTTTCGCTTAGAAAAAAATAACCATGAATATTATTCACAGAATAAACACATGTAATATAACACGTAAATCAAGTTTACCACTGACTTAAATTTCTCTATTATGAGATTGATATATTTCATAACAAAAGAGAATAACTTTATTGTTATTTTATTAAACATGCTGTAAATTACATCATTTAATCTATTGATATTAAATTCCGAACAAAGCATGTATAATAAGGATAAAATATATCTTTTTCTATGTTAAATTTGCGATTAAAAAGAAATAGAAGATCTTTTCTTAATTGATAATTATAAAGAGGTTATATTATATTTGTCTTGCCGTTGAGTATGGTAAATATTGATTATAGAACAAGAGTTATCTTTTGTTCATCTCCGTTTACAATGAATTAATTATTAAGTGAGAGTTTCGAAGTAAATCCAAAAGTAAACGATTGTTTCCTTGAAAGTAAAATGTATGAACTACGAATATAAATAAAAGAACAGAGCGAATGAAATAGGTAAAAAAAATGTGTATATATGTAGGTTGTATAGCATTTCTTGTCACTTTCTTCTCGTCTCATCTTTACCTTGTACTGTCTTGTCATTTAATGTATATTTGATCGTGACAAACTATATTTGTTGTCGCTATCTGTCAAAAAAATATTGATTGCGTGAATAGTTATCATTTGACCATTGATTTATACATTTACTAACGAAAATTTTATTATAAATATATATTAAAATGATGAAAATACGAATTATTCGATGTTTTTCAACACGAGTAATTGTTGACAAATGGTTCAAAGCATTACAATCTCCAACTCATAATGAGCAACAATCGGAATTAGGTCAATGTATTGAATATACTTTACAACAAGATCCAACAATTCATTATAATCTTATCAAAGATATTATTCATCGTTGGACTATTGAACAACCTAAAACAAATGCTCTATGGACAAATCAAATAAATAATAACGAATCTCAAAAATTAACATTTAATGATATAAATACACAGTCATCACATTTTGCAAGTATTCTTACTGGAAATGAATTTAATTTAACACCGGGAAAAAGTGTACGTAATAAATTTCGATATATACATTTTGTTTGTCTTTAAAATTAATTTTGTCTTAATTATATACAGGTACTTGTTTATTTACCATATTCTTCAAAAGAACGAATTTTAATTGAATTAGCTTGTCTACAAAGTGATTTAGTATTTTGTTCGTATGACTTAAAATATTTATCTGAAAATGATATTCGTCAACAAATTCGAACATTAGCTGTTGATTGTATTATTACAAATGTCGATCATTTAGATATGATTATGCATTGTACATATAATTCATTAAGACCATTAAAAAAGGGTCTTATTAATCATAGTTCAATATCGAAACCATTACCAATTGGTTGGCATTCTTTAATGCATAATATCAATAATAATGATTTAAGAATAGGTTCTATTCAATCTCCAAAAGGATGTTTACGTCATTTAACAAATGATAGACCAATAGATCAATATTCTCAATCAAGATTTGCTATTATGCAGCTATTAACAGCGTCAGTTATTATTCTTTTTGTAGGGATTATCTTAAATATTGTTTTTTTTAGTTATTGGCTCAATATGAACAAATCACCTAGTTTAATATGGATAAAAAATACTCATAATAAAATTTCTCTTGCTCCATGGTTACTTGGATCAACAATATTTCATAAAGAAACTGATAATATTGAAACAATATTGAAAACATTTGAAAATTGTCCTATTGATACTTTTTGTGCATCACAAAGTAATTATCAACTGCTTGATAAACAACAACAATTGCAGAATAACATTCAACTTAAACAATTATTCTCTGTTGAACCAATTATTGATCCTATAATAAAAACTCGATGGCATTCATTAACAAATCTTCATATTCAAGATGGTAAGTCTAATACTATTGTTTGTTTCATAATGAATCATTTTTTTTACTATAGATTTTCCTGATAGCAATAATAAATCTGATACGAAATCTTATCTAACTTCTTTCAAATATAATCAACTTGAAAATACTCATGAAACCAACCAACATAGAACATAGACATTATATTCATCATGTTTAAAAGACTTTTCATTTATGAGGAATTAATAGATATGTTCAACAATTAAATTAATTTCTTCGAATTCTGTGATATAATAAAATTTCATAATCCGTTTTTTTATGTGAAAATTTTCTTTGATATGCATTAAATACAATTCTAAATTATTTGAAGTTTTTCGACAAATTGTAACTGTGTGCTTTTTTTCTCGAGCATCATCAGTCGAATCAGCACAGTCTAGAGTATCTATTAGAGCAATCAAAAACAGATGATTATAGTTTTCAGGTAGAGTTTTTCGCGAAAATTTAGATAAACTCCAAATTTGGAGCACACTTAACTTGATCAATCATGAAAGTATATTTACATCTCGAAAGAATTGTATATCGTAAAGAATATTCAATATAAGATTTGATTAGTAATTAGATCTCCCTCAAATCTTAAAATACTCATCAGTTTTCTTGTTTAGAATAAAATCTCTAAATGAATTTTAGTATTTCTACCTCACCCTCTAGTTTCGTTTAATAGAAATTATGATATTTCGTCATGTGAATTATGAAAATTGAGATGTCGCTTCCAGTTGAAATCAAATGGCAGTCGTTGCTATGCAAAAGTAAATACGGATGGTAAGACAAAGTTGACTGTTACTTTCTTCATCTAGTTACAAAGCAACATATAGAGGTTATTTTGAATTCATCTTAAGCAAGACAAGTTAAATTTCAATTTATTCTATTGATTTGTCTCTAGAATGGGGAAAGATTATTATCAAGTTCTTCAATTAACACGTAGTGCAAAAGACAGTGACATCAAAGCTGCGTATGTAAAAAAAAAGGAAAATGATTTTTTCATTTAATTATTGTTGATTATATAGATATCGTCGATTAGCTCTGAAATTTCACCCAGTTAAAAATTCAGGTGATCCAAATAATCTCAATAAATTCAATGATCTTTCTGAAGCATACGATGTTTTACATGATCGTATGTATTAGAATTTTATATCATAACGTAAAGTAATTCTTTTTATTTTATTAAGATAAAAAACGAGCGATTTATGATCAATATGGTGATGAAGGTTTGAAAAATGGTGTACCTATTGGTCCAAAAAGTGAATGGATTGAAGGTTATACATATCATGGCAATTCCGATAAAGTTTTTCGAGATTTTTTTGGTGGTGATAATCCATATTCGGGTAAATATGAAAATAAAAGGAAAAAGATCTTTTGTTTTTCAATAAAATAAATTATTTCTAGAATTTTATGCAACTGCAGATCAAGACAGAAATTTAGGTTTTGGTGGATTAGATGGTCGTGGTCGAAAGAAACAAGATCCACCAATAATACGTGATCTTCTACTTTCACTTGAAGATTGTTATCATGGTGCTGTTAAAAAAATTAAAATTAGCCGACGAGTAAGAAAGATTATTTTATCAGTTAATACTAACATACTTGAGAAGCTTAGTGTATAAACTATGATAATAGTTCAATATCTTGAACCGATTAAATTTTATTTGGTACTTTCGTCTTCGCTTAAAAACATAGTTAGAAATCCTCCCAATACGATACCTTATCTTTAAAGACAAGAATAATACAGAACTTTTTTCCGTATAGGTTATGAATGATGATGGTATAACATCAAGTATTCGTGAAAAAATTCTTTCAATAACTGTTAAACGTGGTTGGTTACCAGGTACAAAAGTAACATTTGAAGGTGAAGGTGATCAAGGTCCAAATACTATTCCATCGGATCTTGTCTTTGTTGTGAAAGATAAACCACATACACATTTACGTCGTGAAAATACCGATCTTATTTATACAGCTAAGATTAATTTAGGACAAGCATTAACAGGTACAACATTACATATTGAACATCTTGATGGAAGAAAACTTGATGTTCCCATAAATGAAATTGTTAAGTAAGAACGATGAATTTGTTTGTCTACGAAAAAAACTGATTATGAATTATTTTATTTTCTAGACCAGGATATAAAAAACGTATACCTGGTCAAGGTATGCCAATAATGACTAATCCCGATAAATTTGGTGATATGATTATTGAATTTGATGTTGAATATCCAAATGGATTAAATACCGATCAAAAATTATATATTAAAGAAGCATTAATAAATAATCAACCTATTAAAAAACATCAACAAAATCAGAATCGAAAAAAACCTGTTACTAATGATGATGAATAGAACTTTATTTTATATTCTTTTTTTACATGATTTATATTGCCAAAAAATAATAAAATAAAACACTTGTGAATCATTTTTTAGAAAAATATATGTATAATTAGTTCAATTAATATTCAATACCCAAAGCACGAAAAGCACTAGCCAATGTCCAAAGTGGTCCAACAGCTAAAAACTGTAAATCTTCAAAAAATGATGGTTTCTTTCCTTCAATATCATGTCCAATAAATTGTCCAATCCAAGCAACAATAAATATAATTAATGATACTCGAAATATTCGTACTTGTTTTTGTTCCATTTTAGCAAGAAGAGCACATGCAAATAAAATAATTACTAACATTGCCATAGCCATTTTTGTTGATAAACGAAAATAGAATGCTAATGTAGGTCCAATAACAAGCATTGGAATAATATGACTAAATACATAGCCAAGATTTTGACGAATAGATTTTGGTAATGGTATTGACCAAAGAAAACCTAATACTGTAAAAGCAATTGTTGGTACACAAATTTTATGTAATACAATATTTGTTGGATTTTGATGTGATGAAGAATATTCATCGAGCCAAGCATGTAATTCCGTTGTATTCTCCATATGTTAATCAAAAAATGACTAAAAGATTTTTGTTGTCGTCGTTTATCTTAGATAACAAAAAGCAAAATAATTTTATCTCTCTTTTATTTCGTAATTTTAACAAAAAAAAAATGTTTTTTTCATATAATACAAAGGTTAAAAACATAAGTGTATATTTTTTTTAGAGATCAATTTTAAATGTAGTATCACATTGAAATAATATAGCATTAATCATAGCTTGAGTTAAATATTTAAGAGCAAGAAATTTTGATGTTGCCATTGATTCTAATGTATATTGAGCATAGATTCGTGCTTCATAATTACATGTTAATTTCGACCAAATTTTTTCAATATAAGTTAACCAATCAAATCGAAATGAGAAAAGTACTTGTAATGATTTATTAACTAATTCAGGTAAATCATTTGTTTGTGTTAAACGATCACTTTCTAATAACATTCGACGTGGAAGAAATGTACGTTGATTTTTAATTGTTTCATATAAATTTGTATTTTTTCTTGTCATCGCAATTAAATTTATTAAACGTCCCCAACTATAACCAAATAATCGTTCAACATTTGATGGAAGATATGATAATTTCGATTGAATTAATGGTAAAGCATTTTCAATTGAAGCTTCATATGCTAACCACATAGGTCCTAAATAATCATTATCAAGTATTCTATCATCAATATTCTTATGTGATTGTTGAAGATGAATAAAAAATTTATGCCATTGTTCCATAGCTTTTGGTACTTGTTTGTAACATTGAATTGAATTTGAACAGAAATTTTCATATTGAACAATTCGAAATGATTCATAAGGAATAAGACCAACATCAATAGCAGCAAGAAATGGTATAACTGATAGATAATAATTAGCTGATGCCCACCAACTATTTAAAGATATATTTAATGTTCCATTTGTAAATAATCGATTTGAATCATATTGCCAACCGAATTGTGATGGAAGTGCAAAAAGTATATTCGATGCATTTGATGATGAACAAAATGGCATTAATGGTGTCGTAATATTAATTAATATTTTATATAAACCTAATCTATGTGGATAAAACCATGGATCAATTAATCTATATCGAGAAGAATTATCATCATATACTAATGGATATTCAGTTAATGATTCTGGTACTGTTTGCCATAATGTTGGATAAGAAATTTCATTATTCGAAATAATTTCTGCATTAATATAAAGAGAAGTCGATAGAAAAAAATTCAATAAGAATATTAATAAATACATAACTATAGCAGAGAGTATAATCGATTACAATAGAAAGAATACTTTTTATTGTCTATTATATTATGCTATATACCATATATTTATAATGAAGTGCACAACTTTGTTCGCTTATTGGTAGATGGCTGGAATAATTATATTGCGTTGGAGTAACCTAGAAAGGTCATACAGTATAATAGGCCAAAAATACACTAAGGTCAAATAGTGCAAATATTGAACAAAAATCTGTTCAATTATAAAAAAAATGTTCTAAAACTATATTATTCGATTGGAATTGTTGTTCTTAAATAATGTATCTTATTTCTAAGAGTATTTAATAAAAGAAGAAAGAAGAAGATTCAAAATCAAGAAAAAAAAAGAGTAAAATGTCTGAAAATAAATCGATATTCTTATTCCTCGATCTGTCTACGGACGATGAATAATACGTTTAACAATACAGAAAAAGATAGATGACGACTAAATGAGAAAGAGAAAAGGCAAAAGAAACATTAAAGAACTAGATCATATGCATCGACTATTAACCTTTTCGTATAGGTACTCGATAATTATTTAGAGTAAATATATTTTTTGTATAGATTGTTGTCATGGTATTATTTGAATATTTTAGAAAGAAAAAAATCTATCAATGACGGAATTAATATCTTCAGATCATTATTTAAGTAATATTGATGATGATTTAACAACCATCACAGATATTGATTTTTTAAAATTTCAATTGATACGTCAACGAAGAAAATTATTTTCTATTATTGAATTATTAATTAAAACTGAATTATCCTATGAAAATAATCTTTTTTTACGTATTGATTATGATAAATTATTAGATAATTATAATCAATTAAATCAAGAATATAATCAATTGAAAGATAAATATCAACATTTAGGACATGCTTGTTTATATTTAATTAATAAAACTCAGGATTTAATTGATGAACGAAATAAATATTATAATGAATGGAAAATAAATAAATCATTATTAACACCAAGACCTGATTGGGATAAAGTATCGAATGTAATTGATGGTGGACATAAACGATGGAAAGTTTTATCAACTGGAAAATCAAGTGAACAATTAATGGAGATATTAATTAGAGAGATTGTAAATGAAAATCAAATTGAATCCATAGAAGAAAATGATTATTTTGAAGCTAATGGTGATCTAGAATCAGTTTTACCATTTTTACGTACATCGGAACATACTCAAATTGTTAATAGACGCATAAGAAGACGTATGACAGGATTGCTAATAAAGGAGATTTGGTAAGAATTCCATTTCATTCGAAATATATGATGATTGCAGAGTTTGATTAGATTCGAATCTATTTACAGTCAGGGAGATACATCTCGTCTGTATTAGATTTAGATCTTGTGGGAATGTCTTCAAGGTAGTCTTCAGTTTTGTACAAATAAATGTCTGACCCTTCCTATAGTAGTGGAACTCTAATGAGTTTTTAGCATGATTTCTCCGGCTTCTATGAACATTGTTCTTAACCATTTAAATCGAATTTTTTTTGCTTAGTTAAAATTTATCTTTTTATATAGGACAGACAAAATAAGAAAGCCATATAATCGTTCTATTCGAAGTTTAACTCCAACAAAACAATATAATTCTTCTGGATCATCATCTCCTTTGCTTTTACCACTTCCGAACACGTTACAATCTCCATTAGATAGCAATATAACATTAGCTGATCATGTAGCTAATTATTTTGAAAAAAGATTCGATTCAAAAACAGTGGCCATCGAAATGGGATATAATCTACGTGATGCATGTCAACGTTATCATAATTCTGAAGAAATTAATCTCTTTTGGGGTATTATAACTGGACAAATAGAAGAAATGGTTTATCATTATCGAATGCAATCAATTAGTCAATTATTACAACATCTAATTAAAATGAAAACATTCTTTTCATTTCAACATGATTCAACATTACCTAGAGCTCGAAAAGCAATTGTTAGCGAACCAAATTCACCTGTTTCAATGATCGCTAATCGTCGATTATCATTATTTTCTATGAAAGAATATCGAGAATCACCAGGTACATATATATTATTTGATATCTTCTGTTATTAACTGAATTATCATGCTTGTGATCGAACCATGATTAAAATAGAAAAGTGACTATATTTATCGAGCTCTAGAATCTGTTTTTGATTCAGCACTGAAGCATCTTATCTATTCCATAGAAACAACTGAGTAGTGTAGTTAGAGGTACAAGTAGAACGATGAGTAAATGTAAGTATTAGAATTGACTACAATTCGAAATGTAAACAGATTCTCCTAACTAAGATCTAAAGTAAAAATATCGAAGGATAAAAGTATCGAAGAAAAGAAGTCGAAATATGAAAATGATAACAGTGATTTATCTAGAAGGAGGGCAGGGATGGCGGCGCCCTCTCGGAGAACGACTTTACTCTCCCAAAAATTGCAGTTTTTGTGCTTATACTACGTATTTACCTCCAGAAATTCAGTTTTCGCCCTCCCGGAAATCGCTATCGCACTCTTGAAAGAAAAAACCTAGATAAAACGCTGAATGATAAGACTTTGAGTGCTCGAAACAACTTAAGGGGGAAAATAAAAAAACACGGGTGAGAGTAGGTGTGTTATGTTTATTATACTCGTATCCACACCCACACTAATACGATACCAATCTTTACCGGTTTAGTAAAATATTTCAATAGATTATTAATTTTATTTTTAGTTTTACATCAGGATTTAACTATGACGAATGAACAATTTAATGAATCCTTAAAAGTTTTTTATCCTAATAAAACTGCTTCTCAAATTGATGAATTATTTCTTTCGGCTAAATATGATCTTCAACATATAAATCAATCAATAGAATTTAGTTTATTATTTATTGAAGATAATGAAGGCCGTTTTGGAAAATTTCTCTCAACATTAATTCAACAACTTATTCAAGAAAAATTTTCGTATGTTGAAGAAATTAAACAAATTCTTCTCGGTCATCCATTAATATCTGTTTCACAATTTTGTCGAGCTGTTCTTATGATTGATCCAAAAATTAATCAAAATGAATTACATCGATATATTGAATGGGTTTTTTCAATAAAAAATTTTCATTCATCACAACAAATAAAACCTTTAGATTTTGAAGATTTATTAAGACGTTTAGAAAATTGTGCTTGCTTTAAACATTAAACACTATCAATACACAAATATATATGACAAAAACAAAAAGAAAAGGAGATTTTCAGAAAAAAAAGGAGAAAATTTTTTTATAAATGTCGAACATCATTTTCTAAATGATAAATTTTTGCTTTCAAATGATTTAATTCACCTTGCATTTCTTTCGAACGTACAGCTGTTTCTTTAACATGTTGAAGAACTTCAATTTCATCAGAATTACCTGTTAAACCAACCGTTACCTAAGAAGACAAAAACATTTCGAAAATTTAATTTCATTGAAGATGAAAACTTACGCGAAATAATTGTTTTTCAACATATTTTAATTTTTGTCGTAACATTTTTATATCAGTTTTAAACCCTTCAATTTCCATATTTCGACGACGTTCTAATTCTTTAAAACGTTCATTGGATAATGATAAACGTTGACCTATCTTCTCTGATCGATCCTAATAGAAAAATACAATATATTAGTTTTACTCAATAAAGAAAACTAGAATGATTCTCAGTTACTGTACACTCGCACCCTTTTTTCTTCTGTTAAATCCTCTTAGTGGCATAACCAAAAATTGACAGGTGGGTAGGCGTCGCCCTACCGATTTCAGAAATATCATATAATATACATGGAAAAGTCGCTTTTTCGAATTACAGGGGGATAATCGAACAGGTCCGGTGAGTACGCGGCACCTACCCATGCTATATCCTTTGTATTATATGAAGTAACTTACTTTATATATTTCTCGTGTAACATCGCCTTCTTCTCTTATTTTACATAATTGTTCTTCTAATGATAAAACTTGATTTCGATACATTTCAGCAAGTTTATGTGTTTGAACATGTTGTTGTTCAAGTGAATGAATTTCATCTTCAAATTTTTTTCTTTCTTCTTCAAAATATGCATTTTCTTGTAAAAGAAGTGATGCTGCTGATGACGTATTTTGTATATGATTTGATGTATTTAGAAAAATAATTTCATCTTCTTTTCTTTGTTCATGTGCTGCTGTTTTATCAAGTTCTTGTAGAAGATGATCTTTTTCATTTAACCATTGTTTTTCTGCATTACGCATATCAAATTTTGATTCAATAACATCTTTCGTTGATTCATGAAGAAGATTTTGCATTTGTACAATTCTTTAGAAAACAAAGAATAATCAAAATAAGAAAATTCTATCAGAAGTGAATGACAAGCATTCTAACAGACAGTTGATAAGGTTTGAAGTTGCATAAAAAAATCGAATTTTAAAGAGCCTTAGGATACTTTATTATTATTCTTAAACTTCGGAGAGCATCAGAATGGGAACCGGAACGATGAGCACAAGGATCTGAGCGTGGGTGAGGGCGCTGGTCCAGAAAAAATAACATTGATAGATTCCTGTATCCATGTCGATTCATATTTGCCTTGACTGTTTTTGTTTTCGTCGACATTATGGATCTAAGCACTTGTGTGCTCATCGTTCACTGACCCGTTCATTATATATCCGGATACAGTATAGTCTACAAAAGGGTTACCTCGAATGCTTAATCTTGATGTTTTACACTAAACCTGATAATTTGCCTCTTTCGCAAATTTAATTGATTTTAAATCGACGGATGGTTTTTTATGATTTCATATAGCCATGGTAACTTTTTTAATTTTATCGTACACTTTTTTTCTAGTTTAATTCTGGGATTCCGAATCTTCGCGATTGACGAAGTTCCGGTAAATCATAATTATTCGTTCGTATTAAACTTTCCAATGTGCCTTTATACTTAAATTTCGAGAAAATATATGAATTTACTTTTCTTGTGATTGTTTAAGTCGTTCTTCATCACGTTTTCGTTGTACATCATATTCTTCGATACGTACACGACGATCTTCAAGTAAAGATTCAATTTGTTCTTTAGCTAATTTCGTTTGTTCTTCAAGTTGTGCTTGAAGTGCTTCAATTTGTAATGAAAGTGTTTCATTATCACGTATTTGAGGTGAGACATTCGAAGATTTCTTTTCGACTCGATCTTCTATATATTAAAATAAATATATTATATTGAAAAAATAACTCTTAAAAATGACATACTTAAATGAGATGATGGACGTTGTTCATTAACAACAACAGCGGAAACTTTTTGTGGAACAATTCCAATACCAGGGGGTTCTTTAACGAAATAAGTTATTTCTTCTTCACTTACACCACAAAGATTCAATAAACGATTGATTTTTTTACGATCTTGTAATTCTTGAATCTAAACAAGAACTTTTTAGAACAAAAAATTGATAATTAAATCAAAAATATACTTTAAGTCGATCATTTTCAGCATAAAGACGTAAAACTTGTTCACGTTCTTGAAATAAATATATTTGCAAATCACTTATAGCTTTTTGTAATTCAACTATTTCACTTTCACGTTTACGTATTTCCCATTCCAATTTATGCTAAACAGAAAAAAAGAATTATTTTCAATGTCTATCATGTATAAAATAAAACAAAAAAAACCTTTTCTTCATAAGCCACTTTGCATCGTTCAAGTTTTTGAATCATATCATCTCGTTCATTATCATATTGACTAATTTTTCGTCGATAAAATTCTAATAATTCTCTTGATGGTCGTAAATATCCTTAAAAAAAAACAAAAATTATAACAATAAAGATTTTTCTATCATTGAACAAACCAAGTCGTTCTTCAATCGTTGGTATTCCTGAACCATTTTTAATGGTTACTTTTTTTGTTGGTTTTGTTGCTGATCCAGGATGAGAATTAGTATTATTAGTTTCTGATGTTGTTCGAGGCATTGGTGAATACAAAAGACTTATGAATAGTTCATATATAATCGATCATTGATATTCATACCAAAAGAGAATGTCATGGAAACGAAATATGTAATATTTTAAATAGAAAATATATGGAAATAAAATCCAAATGAAATATATATGAGAAATTATTTGAAATGAAAAATAAATTTTGTTGTTTTTTTCTCGTTTTAAACTGACCTCTTTAATTTCATTGGTTAGACTGACACATCCTAATGAGTCATGACCTACAATGTAAAAGAGAAAGAAAGGACAAACTCTATCTCACATACACTCACGAGATATATATTTATCGAGCAAAAAATGATGAACGGTTATTATATGAATAATGAACGTGAATTAAATGAGGCACGTGGAATTATAAATCAAATGAACGTTGATGATTTAAAAAAATTAATGAATAATGATAATGAAGTTACAAAACTTGTACAAAATTTATCAAGTGTAAGTTAAATTTTGAAATGGTTGTTTTTAATAGAATAAGAAGAATTTTTATTTTTAGATTCAACAATTGGAAACAATAAGAGAAAGTTTAAAAGAAAATATTAAAAGTTTAGCTATGCGTAATCTTGATAAAGAGCCAACGCTTATTCATGAAAAAGAAAAACTTGCTGAATTACATGAGAAATTGGGAAAAATGAGAGAAGAATATCGAAGTATTCGAGGGCAATATGGTAAATATACATACAAAGTTTTATTTTAAACATGAATTTTTGAATAATAGATGATCAAACTGGTGAAACAAGTCCAGAAGTGATCTATATACTTTTACAAACAGCTGCAGCGGATCTTGAACGAGCAACAGAGGTATGTGACGTTTAATTCTAAATACAGAGAGTTCATGTTTTATAAAATCATTCAGATCTCATGAATATTTGTAAAAAAATCTATCTATCAGTAACATCATTTTTTTATTCATGATAACAAATTTATCTATATGATAAGTGATAAATAATTCAGACTTGAGAAGATCTATTACTAACATTTCATAAAGGTTTTAAACTGATGCTCTCTATTATCGATAAAAAAAGAAAATCTATATAAATCATTAGAAGAATATTTTATTTAAACATATTTTTCTTATCGTAGCAAACAGCCGAAGACTTTTTTTATGGCGAAAAAAGTGAAGAAGAAGTAACAGAATTCGAACGTCGTTTTATTGAAGATCGAAAACGAGCACATGAATTAAAAATAAAAGCTGAAAAATTTAGTGAATTAATGCAAGTATCTCAATCAACAAGTGGTTTAAATTTTAATCAACATATACGTAGTAGTGGATATCGTTAAAATGACAATAAATATTTCTATTTATCTATTTCATTCTTTAATATTTTAATAAACAAACAACAAACGAATGTTTTATGTATAAAAACTGTATAACCTTTTTTTCCTCCTCTTCTTTATGACACTTTGCTCTTTGTTTTTCTCCATGTCATTGTTATTTATTTAATGCAATATGAGTATATATTGTATTTTAGATAAAATAATGTTAGAAATTCGTCGAGAAGAAAATTCCGATAAAAATGAAGTATTTCGAATACATCAAGATGGTTTTCAACGTAATGATGAAGCTGAACTTGTTGATAAACTTCGAAAAAATAATCAATTCAATTCAAATCTTTCATTTGTTGCTTTAGTTGATAAGAAAATTGTCGGTCATATTTTATTTACACCTATTCAAATTAATTATCCACTAACTTCACAATCAATTTCTAGTCTTGCACTTGCACCGATTGCAATTTTAACTGAATATCAGAAACGAGGAATTGGTAGTAAATTAATCGAGTATGCGTTAAATGAACTTAAACTTCAAGGTTTCACATCAATTATTGTTCTTGGTCATGAACATTTCTATCCGAAATTTGGTTTTGTACCTGCAAAAAAGTATAATATTCGAGCTCCATTTCCTTTAGAGAATGATAATTGCTTTATGGCACTTGAATTAATACCGCAAACATTTCCTTTGAGTAATGGAGAAGGAATTGTGCAATATTTACCAGAATTTGGATTATAAATATATTTTATTTTAGATAATTTTCAATTAATAATTATGCCTATTACAAAACGGTGAGTAAAATCATTTTGTATTTGTTTTTATTTATTCTATTTTATGTAGTACAACAAAGACTGTATCCTATGCTGAACGAGATGATGATGATGACGGTAAATCTTTATATTTGTATAGAATTAAATCTATTTCTTCTTTTTTATCGTATTTAGATTTTGTCTCTACTGGTGATAATACGAAAAAAAATCGTAATGTGAAATCGAATGATTCTGTTAAGTCAACTACTGAACAATCATCAAAAAAACATGATAAAAAGTTAGTTTATTTTTCATTGTTTTACCTTAGTCAACATTTTTGAAAATCTTTTAGATTGTGTACATTAGAAAAGAAAGAGCCTGTATTGATCCCTTCATCAACAAAAGAGAATCCAATCGTTATTGATGATAAGGAGAGTACAAATAGTCAATCGACAGTATCTAGTAATGGTATGCATCAATTATATAAAGATAAAAATACATTTGAATACTTTAGATAGTAAATCATCATCACAAAATCTAACTGATCTTGATGATCAAGAAGAAACTTCGTCACCAAAAAACAAACGAATGAAACATGAAGAAGATGATACGAATGAAAATCAATCGAACGGCGAAAATGAAGAAGAAGTTGCACCTTCAAAACAAATAGAAGCAATAAATAAAAAGAATGGTAAATAGACATAAAGAGATTCTTTATTCTCAGATAAATAATTTTTTTTTATGAAGAAATACCAGTTATATCATCGATTGATCTTAATAAATCATTAACTTCTTCAAGTAATTACCTATATATATTTTAATCTTCCTTTATCTCTATTTTATCTTTAGATCAAACATCAGATTTACCAAAGAAAAGATCATCTGGTCCATTAGGTTTTCCAACTAGTAAGATAAATATTCCATCACCAAATGTTCCTCGTGTTGGTTTATCACGTAAATCTTCTACTATAAAACCACTTCATCCTAATTTCACCTCTCATGTTGTTCATGAATAACTACATGTGTGTGTGTGTGTGTGTGTTCTATTCTTAATCCCTGTTTAAATGTGTATTTATTGTACAGATGAATGTTGTTTTCAAATAATCTCAAGAGAAAAGAAATAAGAATATTGATTATATTTCTAGATAAACATTCCAAAATTTAAATGTAATGACAACATTAATGACATCAATGGAAAATGAAGAAAATCATAATAATAATGATTTAACAACAACAGTTAAATTTTTAATACATTATCAACAACAAGCTACTGTTATTTATTTGCCATTAAATTTAACATTAGAATCATTTTATAATCATTTATGTTCAATATGTCATTTAACATTAACAAATCCACCAACATTTACTATTAAATGGCTTGATGAATCATTAGATGCTATAACAATGTCATCACAAAGAGAATTAAATACAGCTATACGTTTATATAAAAAAAATTCTGATAAAGAATTACATATACATGTTTTTCCAAATCGACCTGAACAACCTGGACTTTTATGTCCCGGTGAAGATCCACTTATATATAGACGTGGTGCACGTCGTTGGAGAAAACTTTATTTAATTAATGGACATCGATATCAAGCAAAACGTTTTAGTACAACAGCTGCTTGTACTGTATGTAATGATCGTTTATGGGGTTTAGGTAGACAAGGTTATAAATGTCTTGATTGTCGAGTAAGTTAAATAGATTAGATAGAAAAAAAAGTTTGTATTTTACAAAATTAAGGTTCTTGTTCATAAACGATGTGTAAAACAATTACGAATTGTTTGTGGTACAACATCACCACAACATACAAAATTAACTGATACAAATGGAAGACATCCGTCTGTTGGTAATACAACAAATGGAATTAATGAACAAATTGATCGAAATAGACCAACTGGTGCTAGTGTTATGAATACGAAAGATTCTATGGGTAAACAAAAAATACCAAATATTGTTGAACCTGGTCCATTAAAAAGAGCTCAAGGTAATATAGTCAAAGAAAATTTTAGATTACAATTTCATCGGAGTGTTTATTCTTTCTGATAAGGGAATATATTTAGTTAACAAACCCTATGAGATTTTACATTTTAATAAAGAATTACAGAGAAGTATAGCTGTCATACTTCTTCAGATCGATTTTTACAGAGGATAGCATCACTAAGGTCTACTGTTGGCCAATATACAGAGTCGAATAATTAGATTCATTGTCTTATAACAGTTATACAATCACATAAGGTCAGAATTGACAGAGTGATCGGTATCCTTCACCAATATGGTTAACCCTAATATGATCGAAACATAAAAATGTCGAAATATCAAAATATCGAAAATTAAAATATCGAATATAAAAATGAGGGTGCAGGCGGCAATATAATAGTGTGGGTGAGGAAGAAGGGTGTTTCTACTTCTATTTTCTTTCATTCTCAACATTCCTACTTTTCTGATTATGCCACATTTGGGTTTTCGATATTTTTCTCTTTCGACATTTTTATTTTCGGCGTTATTAGGGTAATCGCCAATATGTTTCACTTCACTATCTACTTATACACATTTAAAAGAACAATATAGCCATTTATTCCTTTTTGTTTCTTTTTGTATTAAACTAGAACCAGCGACGGAAACATTTACAGATGTTGAAATATGTGAGCGCTTACTAATTTAATCTCGCCTTACTAAATCCCTATCATAACGCTTGTACTAATATATATATAACAAATCATATGTTTAGGTGTTGCAGATCTTGGTCAGAGTCCAATTGATGATCCAAGTGGTGCTAATAGTAATTATATCGATGCAGCTGCTGCTATACATAATTCTACATCAACTTCTCCCATAATAAGTTTACAAGATTTTGAATTACTTAAAGTAATTGGTCGTGGTTCATATGCTAAAGTTTTCTTAGCAGAATATCGACCTCGACATTTACGTAATAATAATAATAAAAATAATAATAATCAAACACCACGTTTATATGCAATGAAAGTAATAAAAAAATCAATTGTTAATGATGACGAAGATATTGATTGGATTCAATGTGAAAAAAATGTTTTTGAAAAAGCAACAAATCATCCATTTCTCGTTGGTTTACATTCATGTTTTCAAACAGCATCAAGACTTTTTTTTGTTATTGAATTTGTTACTGGTGGAGATTTAATGTATCATATGCAACGACAACGAAAATTACCTGAATCAAGTGCTAGATTTTATGCAGCAGAAATAACAGTTGCTTTACATTTTTTACATGAACATGGTGTTATTTATCGTGATTTAAAATTAGATAATGTTTTACTTGATGCTGAAGGTCATATCAAATTAACGGATTATGGAATGTGTAAAGAAGGTTTAGATTTTAAACGTGATGAACGAACAAGTACATTTTGTGGTACACCAAATTATTTAGCACCTGAAATGTTACGTAATCATGATTATAATTTTAGTGTAGATTGGTGGGCACTTGGTAAAAAACAAATGAATTATATTATTTGAATTCTATTTTTTTTGTTTCGTATAGGTGTGCTTATGTTTGAAATGATGGCTGGACGTTCACCATTTGAAATAGTTGGTTCAGCTGAAAATCCTGATTTAAATACCGAAGATCGTTTATTTCAAGTTATTCTTGAACAACCCATACGTATACCACGTTCATTAACTGTTCGAGCAAAAAATGTTCTTGAAGGTTTTCTTAATAAAGATCCACAAAATCGTCTTGGATGTCGTTATGATCAAACATTAGGTTGTCGAGCTGGCTTTCAAGATATATGTTTACATCCATTTTTTCATCCAGCTATTGATTGGCAACGTTTAGAATCAAAACAAATTGTTCCACCCTATAAACCAATATTAACTGAAGATCAAGATCTTTCACATTTTGATCCACAATTTACAAATGAAGATGTTGTTTTAACACCTGAAGATGAGCAAATTTTAGCTCGTATACAACAATCAGAATTTGAAGGTTTTGAATATGTTAATCCATTAATTATGACTGTTGAAGGCAATGTTTAATAATTTATATAGATCTACTTGCAATAAGTTTTTTTTCTTCTCAACTATTTACCGTTTCGCTCATTCCATATAAATATATGTAATCTCTTTTTGTGTTTCTTTTTGAAAATTTACATATCAAAATTGAATTGTGTAGTCATTTTTTTCTTCTTTCTGTATTTCATACACGTTGCATTTACAACGACAACCACATTATATAATCATACGAATAAATACTAATGCTCAATCTTGTTTCATAATAAAGATATTATCTTAAGTTCTGCAATCAATATTGACGAAGCAGTTTCCGAACAATTATTTAAGTCTATCTTAAAATTAATTTAAATTATTCAATCGTTAAAAGTATGAGATGAAGAGATAACGATGAATCTTGCTTAATAATATAAATCGAACATTCCTATTGAAGTTTTCATAAAAAGAATAAGTTGACGAGAGGATTATCAGACATTGCTGTGATATATCTTTGAGGGTGTGGGTGTGAATGAGTATGGGTGGGAGTGCGGGTGAAAGTATGACTGAGAGTGTGGGTAAGAGTGTGGGTGAAAATGTGAATGAGAGGGAAAAGGATAGTATCCGCACTCACCACACCCACACTCGCTCACACTTCCACTCTCATCCATACTCATCAGCACACCCGAGCCCTGACCGAACTCGAGAGGCTCGGTACATCCTTATTCCAAAAGCAATAATTGACTTTCATGCTATCGTATAATGCATATTATTGGATTTGTATCCCAAATGATCGAAAAAATTGGAGAAAACAATGTTAAATACTATTTATCTTGAAAAAAGATTTCTATCAAGTATGAACAAATTAATCTTGATTGAATATTTATTTACAAATCAACGAAGAATATTAAGATTAACATCTCTTTGAGCATCAATTAAAACTGATGTTGTTCGTTTTTGTTTTTTTAATTCTTCAGCATGAATTCGTCGAAGAATTTGATATGCTTCTAATGTAGCATAAGGCATTTGTGTTAATGGATCAAAATATTGTGCAGGCATTCCTGTTATTGGACATAAACGACGTCGATGACGATTTGATGCATTTAGTTTTGAAAATGTATCATTATAAGTTTGAAGATGTGTAAATGAAACAAATGTACGTGAATATCGTTCTGGTATTGCTTCTAATTGATAGCTTGGATCAAGAATATCATTCCATTGATCATTTGTTTCATTTAAAATTGTCATTGAACTTGAACAAATACGTGGACATTCATGAATTAATTTATTACGTTTATTTTCTTTCTTCTTTAATTCAATTTGTTGATAAGCCTCTGAAAAAATATTTACAAAAAAAAATATATATTTGTTTTCTTTTTAAATAAGACAAATTTACCTAATGATTCCATGTTAATTTCCTCTAAAAATTAAGAAGAAAACAAAAATTTAATTTATGTTATTTTTTTTTATCTTGTTATTTTTACCTGTTATTTTAGCTTCTTCAAGTAATTCTTCTTGAGTAAGTTTTCTAACTTCTCGAGTATTTCGTAATGAAGCAACACCTTTAAGATAACTACGACGTTCTTGTCGATCTTTTTGTCGTTTTTCAAGTTCAACTCGTTTAACACTAGTAGAATTGCGTAATGTTTTAGCCTCTAAATCAAATGAAAAAAATTATTGAAAAAAATATTTTTGTTATCTCAAAATTACCGATGTTAGGTGTATTCACTTTTTTCTGTTGTTGTCGAGTTAATTTCGAATCTCCTGTTTTTTCTTGCTCTTCTTTTTTCTGAGCTTTTAACTAGAAAAATAATATAATACAAAAGAAAAGAAGAAGAAAAAAAACTAAATTTCCTTACTTCTTGTTGAAGACTTTGCGCTTGATAAACAACTTTTTTTCTTTTACGTTTTGATGTTTCATCACCATCACTATCTTCCTCATTTTTTCGTTTTTTACTTGTATCTGTTTGTTCTGAATCATCTTCAGCTTGTTGTTGTTGTTCATCATTTTGATCAAAATCTGAATCAACAACATCTTCTTCCGAATCTTCTGAATGATAATCATTATCTTCTTCTTCCTGAACATATGAAAATAAATAAAATATTAAGAAGAATATTTTTCTTACATCGAGAAAACCACCATAAGCTGTACCATAAAATTCATCATCGGGATCTTCCTGTTGTTCGAGCAAACGCTTGAGACGATTACCGGCTGTTTGACGACGTTCTCGCTCAGCAGCAAACGACATTTTTTATTTCTAAAATATTTGCAATTTCATTAAAAGATAGAATAAAGTTCTTAGATAGATAGGAAATTATGGAATTCAGTTTGATCTAGAAATATTTTATATTTTCATTCGAATCTTAGGGTCAAACTTATGTCGATATTCAAATACTTTTTCTTATAAACTATGAAAATTTTTCGAAACTTAATTGAATTTCAAAAGCATTTCTAATAGGAAACCTATGTATAATAAAAAAACTACAGCGTAGTTGAACAATAAGTTCATTCTGAAAACACATTTTTGAAACTGCTCATTCTAGAATAAACAAAAGGGAATTGTTAATTCGATATTCTATATATACATATAGACTCTAAAATAGTTTTTTTTACAAAGAAACAATAGTTGATATGCAGAAATCATACCTGAACAGTGTTCGTTTTATAAATGTATTGTGTATTTCAGTAGCATATTTGGTAAAATTTGGAATTTAATTCAACCAATCAGATTTGTCTATCTTATATGAAACCTGACATCTAGCATCCATTGATTCCGAACTAAACCTATGTTTATTGGTTCAAATATGTCTTTAAGAACGAACTAAATACAAAGATAGTTCAATCAATTTCGTTTTTTAATAATCATGCCTCCAAAAACAAAAACTCGTGAATCAACAAGCGAAGCAGACAAGGACACAACTTTATCAGTTCAAGCACCAGCTGCCGTCACTGCTGCACTTCAAGTTAATGATAGTGTATCAGGTGATAGTGAAACCAGTGGACCAACACCCATCACTAAATTAGATAAATCATGTGGTATTGGTACTGCAGATTTAAAAAAATTACAAGAAGCAGGCTTTTGTACTGTTGAATCTATTGCATTTGCACCACGAAAAAGTCTTTTAGCCGTCAAAGGTATTAGTGATGCAAAAGCTGATAAATTAGCTGTAAGTAGTTTAATAATAATTGAAAGAAATTTGAAAAATTTTTTTGTTTAGGCTGAAGCAGCAAAACTTGTTCCTATGGGTTTTACAACAGCTACTGAATATCATCAAAAACGTTCAGAAATTATTCAATTAACAACTGGCTCAAAAGAACTTGATAAACAATTACAAGGTGGTTTTGAAACTGGTTCTATTACAGAATTATATGGTGAATATCGTTGTGGTAAATCACAATTATGTCATCAAGTTGCTGTGACTTGTCAAGTAATTTTTTCTCAAATTATCTGCTTTTGTATAATAAAATCGTTTTTTTTAGTTACCCATTGATATGGGTGGTGGCGAAGGTAAAGCAATTTATATTGATACAGAAGGTTCATTTCGTCCTGAACGTTTATTGGCTATTGCTGAACGATATGGTCTTTCAGGTCAAGATGTTTTAGATAATATTGCTTATGCACGTGCTTATAATACTGATCATCAAATTCAATTATTATATATGGCAACAGCTATGATGTGTGAATCAAGGTTAATAAGAAATTTTTATTATTAGAGATAAACAAAAAATGATTACTAATATAGATATGCAGTATTAATTGTCGATAGTGCCACATCACTTTTTCGAACTGATTATTCAGGTCGTGGTGAATTAGCTGCAAGACAGATGCAATTAGCTAAATTCATGCGTATGTTATTACGTATCACAGATGAAGTACGATTAAATATGATATGAATAAATTAAGATAATTTATATTTGTTTTAGTTTGGTGTTGCTGTATTACTTACAAATCAAGTTGTTGCTACAGTTGATGGGAATGCAATGTATGGTGATCAAAAGAAACCTATTGGTGGCAATGTTATGGCTCATGCATCTACAACGCGGTAACTATTATTATCATAGTTTAATTTTTCAACGATCGATTGATTCATTTTAGACTTTATTTAAAAAAAGGCAAAGGTGATTCACGTATATGTCATGTTGCAGATAGTCCATGTTTACCGGAAACTGATGCTGTATTTGCTATTGGTCCTGAAGGAATTGTTGATGCAGCACCCAAAGATCTTTGTTAATTGTGTATATATATATATAAAATTTTGATTCGAAATTATTTATATGATTCTTATTTAATCAACGAGAAAGATAAATGTATGAAGTTGTTTCAATTATTTGATAATTTGTTGTACTTCTGTTTAAAAGATTAGTGATATCATTTTGAAAATAAAGCTTTTTTATAACGATTAAGAATAGTAACAATAAAATTTTATTTAAAATATTCGATGAACTTTATTGATAAAATAAGCAGGATTAAAACATTTATATCTGCCTTAGAGCTCGATGATTATTTTATTTGTGTTGGATAAATATAAAAACTTATCGACGAAATTTTCCAAATGTTATTAAATGATAAATAACACCACTATTAAATATAACCATTAATAGAAATGGAATACAATTATATACACCTAAATTAATATAATCCCATAGAGGATAGATTGAAAATGCCCATGAATGAACTTGTATAGTACCATCTGTTTTATAAGAACATCCGTAGACGAAGAATATAGCATTGAATAAAATAAAAAATACAAGAATACATATTATAATAATAAATGTATTTTTTGGACGATGGAACCATGTAGGTTGGAGACAACTTAAGGATAAATATCGATCAAGACAAATAAATATTCGAAGCCAAGCTGAAGATTGACAAGTAAAATAATTAAAAAAAGATGAAAATCTACATAAACTTATTGATGATGTTTGAAGAGTAAATCCATAGGTAATGATCAAGATTCCATCCATATAACATTAAAATATCAAAAATAGCTATTGTACATAGATAATAAAGTGTTGATTTAGCTCTCCTATTTCTCAATTTTAATCGACAAAGTATAATAAACGTGAAAAAACTGAACAGAGTACCAACAATGACTAAGGTTAAAGAATAATAAGCAACAAGTAATGTTTGTGCTGCCATCAATTTGTATGAATGTCAAATAATGACATAAAAAAACAAGGTATGATTGTAGTAACTATATTATGAGTTCTTATCTTGAGGGTATATATCTTTTTAAGAACTATATACTTGTAGAAACAAGATCGTGTTGTATATATGCATGCTCAATTCTTCAACTTCACTAACAAAAGATCTGGAAAATAGTTGTAAAAATGAAATTATTTTCTGAAGTAATTGTGCTACAAAATATTGATCATCAACTATTTTATAGATATATGCATCTAAACAGTTGAGAGTCTTCTTAAGTAGAATATTTAATGAAGAAGAGAATCACAATGCTTAATGGGTCATTGATATTAGACTTTTTGCATCATATACAACAACAATACGTTGATTGAATAAATATATGTTGACGACATTTAATTATTCTAGCTCTACTATTATACGCACTAAACTTCTTTAATTACCTCCATGTATCGTTCGTTAATCTATATGAAACTAAAGAAAATAAACTTTTGCGATCAAAACATTAGTTATGTATGCTTTTTACCATTCTCTCTCTTTAAACAAGATCTTTGGTCTTTTTTTAGAATCACATAAGATTCATTATAAAAAGTAATTTAAACTTCATAAGACTATATTTATTTTAACTGATCTCTCATACCCATATCCTTGTTTTCAGCGAGTATACAAGATTGTCAAGTGGTCCTTTATTATTTTAACATCAGTATTTTCAATAAAACATTTATTTCATAAAAATTGTCATATGTCTAACTAATTATATTATCTAATGTGAAACATGATCTAACTGTCTTTCATCCGCAAATGAAGAAAAAAATAGATCAAAACGTTTAAGAAAATAAACAAATTTAAAAGAAAGGAAAAATTATTTTTCATAATTCAATTTGAATCGTAAAAATAATACATTGTTAGATATACTAGCATCGGAACTAAGTGTATATTTGTAGTTTATATAATTTATACAAGTTAATATTGTGGAGTTACTTGAGTTGGTAGATCTTCTAATATTTATATATGTGATTTTCCCGAAGAAGACATAATATTATTGAATATATGTGATACGGAATGTACTTATAAGTGTTAAAAAGAGATTATTCTTTATCTGATATGAACATCAATTGAGAAAAGAGTAGAATCTATGTACTTTTATCAGCATTATGTCAATATCTGGTTAGAAATATCTATAAAATGAACTGATTATATTGCAAATATTTTTGAGAACTTCCATAATTATTGTACATAGAATTAAAGGTAAATACCGTCTGAATTCAAGCTCGCGTGTATAATTATCTTTGTATATTCTGTTGATAAAAAAAAATTAACAATGACTCACATTTCATTTTCTCACCTGCGCTAATTAGAAATAATAAGCGCTACATCAATATAATAAATACGAATGTATTTTCTGTTGTTTTTAATCAATCCTGTTAATAATTTTTTCATTAAGACAAAAAAAAATTGAAAAAAATTAGGTAACATAAATATGACTTTATGCATCACTGAATCGTTTATAAAATTATATATAAAAATGGGTGCTTATTTCGTATTTCTTTAGAAATTGCGTGTCATTTCAATTGATAACAAGTATAGTAATCTCATTTTCGACAACTTTGATTGTGTTTGTGTATTATTGAAAAGTAAGTGCTACTATACCATTTGTATTTAGTATAAATCACTACTACGATATCTTTTATATATTTACAACTAACAGAAATTGAGGATGTAGATACTCATCGTATTCATCAGCTGCACACACCTTTTCTTCTGTACATTTTTCTTAGTTTCACACGTTGCAGTATCGTTTGTATTTATCTCTTTATTACAAACATATGTTGATGCTTCCATAATTTCTAACGTTGTTGCTATTTTCTATTCAAATCAGTGACAATAATTTTGATATCGAAAATTCTATTTAATTTAATTCTTTAAGTGAAGTAGTTATACAGCAGTAAATAGACAGATAGTCAAGGACAAGATATGGCGAATCATTTCCTTTGCTGGATTAGAAAATAATGGGTGAAGATAACATATTCATCTTAAATCTAATTATAATATATTAAAGAAATGTACTATAATTGAAATAGGTCAAAACATGACAATTAGGTAAAAAAATTGAAGTAGGTTAAAAATGGACAAGTAGGTAAGGTAATGATAGAAATGATAACTAGATACAGATATAGATGATGATCGAGGAATATATTAGATATATAATCATCATATAGTATAACTAGAATGATGTAATGAAACAACAAAATTAATTACTAATAATTCAGTTTAAATACTAAAACGTTCATTATTCTACGAAACACTGCGTAGATAATTGATCAAGCGTAATAGTTAATGAAAAACGCATTTTACACTAATATTTCGCTTCTTTTTTACTGATCATTTAGTTTTTACCTTTCGTTAAGGGTTTATAGCTAACGGCTTTCTGTCCTTTAATATGATGGTAGCAAGATGTTGTTAGAATCATGTGTAAGACAATACCAATACTTCATTACCGTATTGGTGTTATTACATTCCAACCATTAGCTAGATAAAATATATTGTCGTTGAGATCAACTCAATTTTCGTCAAGACTTAAGAAATGTCGAAGTTAGATAACATAATATATTTACATAAGAGGGTTACTATAATGATAAATCAACGTATAGATCATTTAAATAGACTAATCAATTAGATTAGGTATCCGATGCATATGAAAGTCTAGATGATAGTTTGAGTTATCTTCAGTTACATAGCATATCTATTTCTGATTTTTTTAATAAAACTCTTTCGCAGTATAGAAAATATATCTCAATTGAGTCACCATATACAACGTATACTCTGAGTTTTGCACTAAGTAGTGATATTTAAACGTTTGTAATCGATCCTTAACATACATCTAAATTCTTCCAAGCAATACACTAGATAATCTTATTTTCATAGTACTGGAAATCTTCAGAAGCTCTTAAAATTAAATCATCTTCTATAGTATAAGATATCTCATTTTGATTGACTAGAAGTATTGCGAAGAATCTAAGATTTCCAGAATTATGTAATGGCATATAGGTACCGTATTTGATA